TCCCACGTACATGGTCCCCTTTTTCTTGTGTTAACTGAGAGCTGATTTGATGAGATAACCAACTGTCAGTGGCCATGCAGGGAGGTCTAATCCCTCCCGGCCAAACTAGTGCAGATAGGCTTTAAAAAAAAAGGTTGAGTTCTGGGAAGAGGTGAAAAATAATTTGTGAGCTAAATTGAGGTCAATAATGGCTAAAAGCAATTTCAAATTGCTAAGAATAATATCAGCAAATTGGTAAATTGGTCCAATTAGCAAATTGACCAATTTTAAATTTGGATGCATGCGTACGCGTCCGCCATGACACCCGCAGGGACATGGGTGTGACCAAAAGTTTACCTGTGACGTCAAGTTCATGCGTATCAAATATCATCCAGGAATATACAATGTATGGCGGAAATATAGTCAATAATAGAAATTAACAAAATGGTGCATAGATGCTAGTCACGCATCAGTAATAAAGAAAATCTCTTTGTTAGGATCAATAATCATGCATAATATAATACATCCACAGGGGCATCCAAATATATCAAAATTGTAAAGATTCACTATCCACCCAATTTTCAAAATTTCCCAAAACTTTGTATTACCTTTAATGCTTGGGGCACTGTCTTTTTAAATTATGACCAAATAGCTAAATGGCCCTTTGAGAGCCTGAAGCTTTTCAAAGATAAAGAATTATAAATCAGTTGCCAGTTTTGTCTTGTAGCATGGACCTACATGTACCTGTAGATTGACTTCCCATAGCTCAATGAAAAATGTTCAACTTTGCTTTATGCGCATGAGATATCTCTGAACAACCAATTGTTTAAGGAATTTTGTAAAAAATTGACAATCCAATTAAGCAATAAGTGGATGAAATCCAACGAGTTAATATCAAATACTAATAAAACTAATTATATTATATTTGGAACTAAAACCAAAATTCCAATGGTTTTAAATTTGTTCTATTCAAATAAAAAGATAACTCAGGTGTCAAGTACAACATTTTAGGAGTAATTGTAGATGAAAAACTATCTTGGAACCACCATATGTAAATCATCTTTGTAACAGTTATCTAAAAATATTGGTGTCTTATTCAGATTGATTTTTTTTACCTCAGACTGTTTTGAAAATGTTATACCATATGTCCTCATTTCTTCTTCCCATTTAAATTATTGTAATATTGTTTGGGGTTTCACTTCTAAGAGAAATATTGAACAAATTTATAAATTACAGAAACATGGGATTCGCCTTATTACACACTCTTTTTTATCTGTCTCATACTCCACCATTATTTACAAAAATGCAAATACCATACTATGATTTAGTAACCTTAAATAGTGCAATTTTCATGTTTCAACTGTGTAATAAACTTCTTCCAAAGAATTATGATTATTTTACTTTTAATTGTTCCATTCAAAATTACAATACTATAAATGCTCACAATATCCACCTCCCTTTAAACTGCATATCAACAACTGAGAATTATTTAATTTTTTACAATGGACCAATTATTTGGAATAACCTCCCAATTAATCTCAAGAATAGTAAGACCGTAAAACAGTTCAAACGATTAGTTAAACAACACCTCCTAAATGATGAATATTTTGTTGATGTTTCCTATCTTTTCTTCGATCCTTAGCATTTTTTAAATATTTTTAATTGTGATGTTTTTGTTATGTTTTCCTTGTTATCATTTTTGACATTTTCTTACAATTTATAATATGAAGTGCTTGTCAGTTTTATTAAAGAATGACCCATACCAGACGGCTTTTTCTGTTTTAGTAAAATTGTAAGAACTCATACTTTTTGTTAGTATTTGTATCTGGCGAATAAAAAAGGAAATAGCTGGAGTAATTAGCTCCAAAAATTGCATTTGTCAAAAACATGAATAGTCCTGATCCTATAAATAGGCTAAAAATACATGTTTGAAGTACATGTAAGCACTATAAGCATAATGTAATTTTTGACCGTCCAAGTTGGGGACATGCATGTTTGGTTTATTATGTTTGGTTTATAATGTTTACAGTATGTTTTACTTTTTTTTTTAAACAGAGCCTTTATGCTTTACTCTTTTAGTTAACACCATATTTTTGGCTATTGTGGTTTTATAGATCGGGGATTGTTTACAGTTTTCCTATTGAATGTTTGGTTTTGGTACAGGAATGTGTTAGATGTTATTGGCTTTTTATATTTTTAATGATTTACAAATAGTCAGTATTTCAGAAAGAAATTTTACACCAGTACTAGTAGTATTCACCTGTTTCAAATCTTGATAACATTTGTAAGAATCATTCACCAAATAATAAAAAAGTTTAAACATATAAATCTTCCAAGCTTTTTGAATATTTTAATATATAAAGTATTAAAATGAATCACTATATTTTCCCAAATTATAAGACATCCATAATATTTATCCAATTTGTTTCGGAGGCTTCATTTAGTGTTAACCACATGTATCATGGTCTTTGCCAACCCCTTAGGATCAAATGGCATAGGCCATGCCATCCAAAGACCATTTGTAACAGAAATTTGGTGGGCAAAGAACCCTCTAGAAATGTTTGGGAAGCAGTGTGTACAACCCTTTTAAGACAATGGAATAATAATAATAATATTCGGTTCTTGTGTAGCATATATTGAACGTCTCTATGCGCTTCCAAATTTGGAAATTATTACCCCGGCTTTAGCATGGCTTCCATTACGGCGCTTAAGCATTTCAAGGAATTAATTCCTGCCAGGTACCCAATTTACCTCACCTGGGTCGAGTGTGGCAAATGTAGATTAATGTCTTGCCAAAGGACATTAGTGCCGCGGCAGGACTCGAACTGCGGACCTTGTCCACGACAATAGACCATGAAGATCATGAAGATATTGACAAGGTTACAGCAACATGTGCTAGCAACATCTGATACTAGATAGCATCTCTTCCAGACAGGCATAAACACTACAGACAGTTCTCTCATTTCCTTACTGTTATCCACAATAATATACACTGTAGAGGCAAGAACTGTATATTTTGTCCTTAAATTACTTAACTTGTACTTTTTTTTTAAATGGGTCATTGTAATGGAACTGATGTGTGAAAGTTATTAAAGTTTATTAAAGTCCAAGAATAAGGATCGTCTTCATAAACGAGGATCGTCTGCATTTTCGCAGACGTTTCATATTTTTGATCGGCGCATTGGCGATGCAAAAAACGGATTCTGCAATGATTTTCTTGATGCATTTTACATTGACTTTGTACAGAGACCTTCACATTATGAGCAATAAATCCTTGGGAAGACGGACAACCCATAAAAGTAGACGGTGAACTAGGGTTATTTTCCCCCGGGGAATCCATTTTTGGCATCGCCAGCAGGCCGTTCTGTAACATGAAAAAAAACGTCCTCGAAAATGCAGACGATCCTTATTTTTGAGGACGCATTTTGTCCTCGTTTATGACTATGAGGATATCCTTGTTTATGAGGACGATCTTCATTCTCGGACCAGCGCCCCTACTGATAATGAAGACTCAATTTCATCATTATATGCGTGTCATAATTCATTGACCAAGTTCAGTTCAAGTCTCAAAATGAAAATAGAATTTTATTTTCAAATGGAATGGAAGCATATAGATTTCTAGGCCTAGATCTATATTAGGTCTATAACCAAATTCTAAAAGTCACTTAGATTATAAAGGCTAAGTATATAATCGCATGCAATGTATACCGTTACGTTACGTTACCTCTTTTGTTCGTGTTGTTTTGATGGTGTCGCAAAGTGATGGGTCAGTACATGGACAGTTCTGTGCAGCCAAACGTCTCATCGCGGAGATGTGCTCGGAGAACATCGGGGACCCGACTTGCTGAAGTTCCGCTCCGAGCCCGTGTTTTGAATGTACCTCATTTTGAAGGCATGTTACACCACCATATAAAGTGAAAGTCACTAAAATCGACCAAATTACTGTCAATTCCATGTTGAGAAAGAATAGTCTAATAGACACAGGTTATGTGTCGTTCAACTTCAATAGACTACAGAATATTTTTTCTTCAATCGGTAATAGTCTACTACATGTACGTGCACAACGCAACGGGGATAACCCTGAACAGTCACGTGACAGGAGGGAAGTTGATCATGTGATTCGAACTTTTAAAGGTAATACAAAGTTTTCGGAAATTTTAAAAATTGGGTCGATAGTGATTCTTTACAATTTTGATATATTTTGATGCCCCTGTGGATGTATTAGCCCCTAAAACACTTCTGCTTTAGAGAAAAATTGAATATAAAAGTGGGGGGGGGGGGGGGGGGGGGGGGTCATTTTCAACCCCCCCCCCCCCCAACAAAAAAAAAAAAAATTGGCAGTAAAAGTGGTTTCGCGATAGAGATTTTTCTTATGTCCCCCCTCCCCTCAGTACGCCACTGCCCGTAAAAGGTGAGCCCCCTATATTTTTGCCCCCCCCCCCCCCCCCCCCCTTGACCCAAACTGCTTCCGGCATGCCTGCCACAGGCCTATACCATAGGGTCTCTTTTTAAAATTAGAGAACGGAATAATTGCTCTATGATTTAGTTCATCTGTGACAAAGGGAAGGATGGGTGTGTGAATAATTATGGAACAAATTAATGAGATTTGTACCATTTTAATAAATGGATTATTATTTTGTCTTCATACACACACAATTTTTGTCAACCCCCCCCCTCGCACACACACAAACACTCTTTCCACTAGCACTGATATCACATTCCCTCTGTCCTTTAACTCCTTTTCCCTTCCTTATTTTTCTCTCACTCTCTCTCTCTCGTCTCTCATCATGCACTATTTTTTGTTCTCTCCTCTACCTCTCTCATTCTCTCTCTCTCTCTCTTTTTATCTTCCTCAAATCCCAAATTATTCTTTCTCTTACCCTCACTCTCAGTACCACAAACAGTTACCATCTGTTCAGACCCAGAGGGGTTTTAACTCTGTGTTAATGCCCTTCTGGCTCCAAGTCTAATAAATTGGCCAGTCAGTAAGAAACTCAAATGAATTAATTCACACATAGCTATACAAATGAGTGTCATCTATATTTGTCTTTGATTTACATTTAGACATTTATGCATTCATGTTATTATCGTTGGGACAAACAAAAAATAGAATTCTTGCAGAATCCAACAAGTAACCCCCCCCCCCCCACCCCCATATTTTCACTAACTTTGGGCAATCCATGATTGTGGAAAATTATAATCCATGGCGATTTCAATATGAGGAACCCACACTTTCGCTGATAATATTATGTACTGCGCCTAGAAACAAAGTATTAGGCACATTATATTAAAATGTGAGCTATAATTATTATTATAACAGTGTTCATTCCCACAAGCGGAAAAATGAATGAACAAATGAGCAAATGAATAAAAAGAACTGGTACAATTTCAAAATGTTTGTTTTTTAGATGTGTCTATCCACTGTCCCTGTTATTATCTACTTTCTCTGTCAAAATTTGCTTGACAGTTAAACTTAAAGACGCATAGTAGTGGGCTCTAATTGGGAATTAGACACCATTCAGGTCATTACCCAATAGCTGGTTTTGTCAATCCCCAGGATAAGCCTTCAGTTCTTATGACCAACATGCCTTATGCAATGCTCTGCATTTTCCACCAATCACCCCCCCCCTGCCCCCATATGGTAAAGTCATTATCTAACATTTCCATCACCCAAAGACTCTCAGATAGAGGAGAGGGTATTTTATGATGGGACCACGGGTTTGCTGTGTGCAGACTTGTACACCCATTAATGGTATTTCCACCATGTCTGGTGTCTGTGAATCATGGCCTTCTGCACATGGAAACTGACTACCATCTCCCTTTAACCCAATCAATACTGAATTCTTTCTTTCCTGTACGCTTAATACAGGAGCCATCAGCTTCCCACAGGCAACGGGTTAAATTCTTCCTTTCATGCAACCATGTAGCTTATAAGCTGGGCGAGCAGCGTCACGTTGAGACTGTTGCCTAGCAACCGATACTTTTGCTTCTTGGTGGAGCATTCTGGGAAACCTGCAGAGATCAAAGACATACGAGGGAGAGGAGAGGAGAAGAGAGGGGAGGAGAGGAGAGGAGAGGAGAGGAGAGGAGAGGAGAGGAGAGGAGAGGAGAGAGGAGAGGAGAGGAGAGGAGAGGAGAGAGGAGATGAGAGGAGAGGAGAGGAGAGGAGAGGAGAGGAGAGGAGAGGAGAGGAGAGGAAAGGAGAGGAGAGAGAGAGAGGAGAGGAGAGGAGAGGAGAGAAGGAGAGAGGAGATGAGAGGAGAGGAGAGAGAGAGAGAGAGGAGAGAGGTAAGAGGAGAGAAGAGAGAAGAAAAGAGAGGAGAGAAGAGAGAAGAAAAGAGAAGAAAAGAGAGGAGAGGAGAGGAGAAGGAGAGAGGAGAGGAGAAGGAGAGGGGGGGGGGGGGAGAGAGAGAGAGAGGGGGAGAGAGAGAGAGGGGGAGAGAGTGAGAGAGGGTGAGGGAGAGAGGGTGAGGGAGAGAGGGTGAGGGAGAGAGAGAGAGAGAGAGAGAGAGCGATTAGAAAATGACACAATCAATTATCTTTTCAAAAAAGCATTCAAGATAATTTCAATAGCTTCTTGCATAACTGATAGAATTCACATTGGGATTATGGATATGTTTGCACATTGCAATAGGTGAGGCACTGGACAGCCTGTACTACTGAAATTGCCCCTCGGTTGATTTCTTGCAAGTCTCTGCAATCGCTTTCCTCGTTAAATAAAGGCTATCCTGACTAAGAAACTCATTCGGGGGAGACTAAGGGCGCGTTTATCAAGGCTTGCCACTAGATATGTACATATCGTACCCCACTATTGAACCCCACTATCATACCCCACTATACGATCGTGATTTGCGGGATGTAGCGTTTATCGTCCCTTCACGATTCAAAATAAAGGCCTTGTGTCTGCCCAGCTGTTTTGACCCGGGAAGCAGACAGTTTCTCGGAGGTCAACTTCACACTCATGCTTGTACACAACACCTGGGTGGTCCTATTTGTATGTGAGGTTCAAAACAGCTTTGCGTTTATCGATCTCTCAGAAACGTGATTCTGGCTGTATGTCACATACAAAACACACCTTTTTGCGTCTTTAGATATGCCCATATCTAAAGCCCTTTAAAAAAGGCTTTGCGTTTATCAACTTCTAAATTTGCCTGAAAGACGTTTGAGAAACCTGATTCTAACCAAAAATTTGGTAGATAAACGCAACCCAAGTCAACTATCCACGCCTACTAATGACTCACAGAGACCCTGGTTAAAGATAAACTTGAGTTCTGGTAATGATAGAAAATAAATTGTCACAGAATCCAACAAATCTTTCACTGAATGTTCAAGCCATGTTCTCTCTACATACGATTCCCACACCAGAGCTCAAGATTAGATTTAACTAGATGGACCTTCGACCGCGCGCAGTCGAAAATGATGCCTCCGCCATGGAGCAATTTTGCAAACCAAAACAGAAGCAAGCTATTTTTGCATACATAATGAGCCCTGTGACCTTTGACATTTGACCTCATTACCCCCAAATTTAATCAGTTCATTGGCTCTGCAAGATAAATACATGAACTACATGAAAGTAGGGCAGGAATCCATCAATCAGTTCTTGAGATAATGCGATCATGAGCTATTTTTGCATACATAATGACCCCTGTGACCTTTGCCCTTAAATCTCATGACCCAAAAATGTAATCAGTTCAGTGGCTCTGCAAGATATATACATGACCCAAGTTTGGCAGGAATCCATCAATGGGTTCTTGAGATAACGCGATCACAAGCTATTTTTGCATACATCATGAGTCCTGTGACCTTTGACCTTGGATCTTGCGACCCCAAAATCTAATCAGTTCATTGGCTCTGCAAGATACATACATAACCCAAGTTTGGCGGGAATCCATCAATGGGTTCTTGAGATAACGCGATCACAAGCTATTTTTGCATACATAATGAGCCCTGTGACCTTTGACCTTGGATCTCGCGACCCCAAAATCTAATCAGTTCATTGGCTCTGCAAGATACATACATGACCCAAGTTTGGCGGGAATCCATCAATTAGTTCTTGAGATAACGCGATCACGAGAACGGGACGTACGGACGTACGGTACGGACGTACGGACGGACGGACGGACAACCCGAAAATATAATGCCTCCGGCTACTTCGTAACGGAGGCATAAAAACTGAGAATATTATCCCTTATATGGCGACATCAAAGGTCGGTCCCCAGACATAAATATTCTGATTGATACATGTCTGTAAAAATCCAATTACATACACACACTCACCAAAATCTTGAGGAAAGTGGTGCAAGTTGGCAACCTCTCTGGGTGAAAAATACCTGAGACGGAGCGCCTTCAACCTCTCCAGGCGTTCATCATCACTGCACGACCCGGAAGAGAAGGCTGCAGACATCTGGAATAAATGGGGGATTGTTCAGTAAGATTTAATAGAGGATATCATGAAATTGGGGGGGGAACATTTTAATATGGTCTGTTTAGAACAAAAAGGGCACACTTTTTCACAGAGTTAAGTGCCCTTCTGGCACCAAATAGATGCACCAAGATTCCAGACAGTTATCTACCTGATTATTATTGCCTATTGGTCCATGTGGTGCACAGCTTTCTAAATAACTCAACACGGCTTAACACAACAAATTTACAGTGTATGCGCTTGGAGAGCAAAATAATGATTGTTTTATTTACTTTGAGCATGTTTATGTAAAGGCGCAATATAAGTATCTATATGTATGTATGTATGTATGTTATTTTGTGATGTTGTCATGGCTGATTTTGTACATGACGACCTCCAGGAAGGACTTTTCATGCCACACTGAGTTGCTGAGAAGTTTAGTGTTAGGAAACGACAGGGGGAGGCAACCATATCCAGCATGATTATGGAAGCGGGCAAATCAGCGGCTGGAGTAGGCCCAGAGTGCGCCGGATCTGCACGTGGCGATTCCGATGGGGCACATTTTTTCCGTCTGTACTCGAGAAAGTCAGTCCTAAAATCAAAATGGCTTGTACAATATAGATAGTTGCGGAAAAGTTCTACGTTAGAAAACGTCAGGGAGAGGCGACAATCTCCGGGATGGTAATGGAAGCGAAAGGAGGAGGACGCCCAGAGAACACAGTAGAAGCCCACTTCTTCCGTCTGTACATCAATTCCAATGTGACGGACGAAAAGTTAAAGGAAACGATTCTGAATATGGAAAAGGGAAAGCGGGTGATTATAACCCAAGTCCTGAAATATCCTGGGAGTGGTCGATTGACCCCCAAATCAAAAGTAAGTGGACCCAATGCTAAACCTACTAGTATAATAATCATAGATTGATTGATTGACTTTTATTCGCCAAGCCTCCAACTTACACTGTACAACAAATTACAATATACCCAAATAACCGATTAAATCAGCTTGAATAGTACTCGTATTTAATATGTTGTTCATATCGACATATATTTTTTGCTGAACGTGTATTTGATTTGTTTTTGTATAATTTAAAAAAATATCATGTACATGTACATGTAGATTATTATAATTTTTATTTTTTGTGGTTTTATAGTAGCGATTGTTGTGATTAAAAGGCATTTTTATTTAGTTTGACTTTAATAGTATTATATTTTATGAGGATTTTATTTTGTTTCATTTCTTTCAGGTCATCACAAATGTTAGTGCTTTCGAATACGATGTCGCGGCACTGAATGAGTTTGTGCGACCGGCCACGGTAACCGTGGCGGATTCGAGAGGTTCAGCCAAAAAACGGCGACTCGGCGTCGAAGGAGATGTCGTTGAGGTAATAATGATTATTATAATAGTAGATAGAACCAGTGAGCTATTTGTAAGAACCAGTGAGCTATTTGTAAGAAACCGTAATCGTGGAATTGCCTATGTTACACTTTGTAATAAATGTGTCCATCTGTTATGTATGTTTTTTGTTTGAAGGGGTGGGGTGGGGTGGGGGGGGGGGGGGACGGCAGTACCAAATACAGGTGACTGTATCACACATTTAATTTTGATGAATATGTGCCATCAGGAAAAGTGTAAAAGTTCAAGTTTTTTTTTAAATATAGTTAAAGGTAAAGACCAGTATTGGAAACGCCCCAATTTCAAAATATGAAATGGAAGCTCTTATTACCAATCATGTGAAAGAATATGTTTTGAATATTACATGATACAAATTTTGACGGGAAACCGCCTACTAATTGATATATTTGGTAAATTAGTGTATCTCTCGCCTGTTGAGAGATATGAAATGCACGTGTCGCGCACGTGTGTGTAGTCCCATATACATCTTTCTGTGTACAGTGATTCTAACTTTATGAAGACTTGGCCAAATCTTAATCATTTTGATGATTCCAGAACCTTGCAGTACATCTATGCTAGATGATCAACCTTTTCTGATCGATTTCACAACGCTTCTTTCACAATGCAATCGCATGACCATAACTGGTCTTTAGCTTTAAAGGGAAAGCGAACTGGCACGCAAATAACTGTGAGATGATGTATTCACAACAGCGCCATCTCGTGGCTGCTTACGACCAGTGACTGTCTTTGAAACATGGACCCCTTAGACGCTTCCAAGTCCCTCAGTTTCTTCCGTCTATCCATTTTGTCTTGCACATGCACTTTGCGCTCCCACGCAGCCAGTGGCGGACAAATTTGCGAGCATAATTTGGTCACTGCATAAAACCTATATACCTATTCACGTAAAGTGCACCGTGCATGGATTGTCTAAAGACCGTCTCGGTGCGATCGACCGTAGTCTGAATACAAATACTGTACCATGCATACATTTCAACAGACTCATTGACAAATTAATTAGGCTATAATAATAATGAATATGCATGGCATTGGCAGTATATGGAAATATGTCAGGTGGCTTTTGTCACTTTTCGGTGATATTAAAGATATTACATTTTTTTTACTTTAGACAATACAGAACCTCCTTATAATTGTAGCATATTAAGTGACATTAATGGTAATTTTCTAAAAATTCATGTGGAATGAAACAGTACTTACATTATTGTAGAAAAATATGAAATATTTTAAACTGAATATAATACTACACTCTGAACATAAGAAATTGTAAGTGTGTGATATTATTAATAGCTCACTTGTTTGCATGTTGTTGATAACAACTTGATATTATGGATATCATTGTTTCATGATATACATGTAATGCCAATCATTAAAATGTTGTAACTTTGATATTCCACATCCAATTGAAACTTGTAATACTATGCTTGTCAAAATTTGTTGAGTTTATGTTATATTTTGAGTGGATTTCGATGTACAGCTTAACGATTAAAGTGTAGAGTTATTCAGTTATAAATGATGTTGTTAAATAATGTGGGGTAAAGTATTATTTTCATCATAATTTGTTTTTATTATTCATCTTGATATATATCAGGTAGGAGGGTTTGTGACAACAGACGAGTATTCGAGACAATCTCTTCAGATAGAAGGGGCTGGGAGCCGAATTGAGGTGGTGCTGTGGGGAGAGGCGGTAGTGAGGGAGTATGCAATCTCCAAGAAGGTTACATTCACTGCCTTGATTAAAGAGGAGAGGAGATTGTCGTGGACTACCTCTACTAGTGTGGAGGTAGGTTTTGCTATATCTGGATAATAAATCTTTATTCCTTTCGGTTGAAAAGATGTTCTGTAGAGGAAAGGTCAAACTAAATGTGACAGTATAAAAGCAAGGTTAATTGGTCTGTTGGACATGAACTAGGACTGTTTTTTGTTGTAATACCTTTTGCATTTTTGTTTGATAAGCATTGAAGTTCTAACTTGTGTTTTTTAATGATATTGAGTCAAGAAGAAACTGAATGTAATTTGGAAAGGATGATGCTATATGTAGAAATTGTGTTTGCATTGAGGCTGCAAAATTACCAGATTGATTAAACATGGAATCAATCGTTGTGAATTGCACCTTCCCCTTATGCAGTACAGCATGTTTGGGACTAAATGTTTATGATTAAATACTAATGAGCATTTTGAGCAATAAGCCATTTGAGCTTTAAGTTGGTCTTTAAGCTGGATTTGGCTTAATAATAAGAGCGTTTTGTTTTGGGGGATTTAAGTTTTTTGATGATATAAATATTATTTAATGAAGAAATCTGTCGGGGTTCTTCTTTAATGATTTTTGATAAATCAAAATTTGTGTGTCATCATCAGATATATATATTAGTGATTGGCATGAATTTCCTGGCACTGCTATTCAAACTGAATATTTCATGTAGCTGTAATGTATGAGAAATGGTCCTTATTTACCATTTGTGATGATGACTGCTGAATTTATCTAATATGTATATCGTTTGTTTAAATGTACATGTATGTTTTGTTCATTTTCGGATTTTCTATTGAGGTTATTCTCGAAAGTGGGGCGTTCCTTTTTGTGGGCGAGGGAGTGCCCTTCAACTTCGAGGTGGTGCTCCCTCTCCGAGTCCGCTACAGAGCGACTGCCAGTGGAATCGTGCAGACTATAACAGTAATGGTCGACGCCGAGGAGGCAGAGCAAGACGTGCGATCTAATGCGATCTAATGAATTATTCATTGAGCTTAAAAGTATAACAATTTTTGTCTTGATATCCTTTTTTTCTTAAAATATTTATATCTATTGTACTTTTTCGTATTTTTAAATAATTTATTAAAATGTATTAGTGTGTTATAATTAATGATACTTACATTTCTGAGTTTTTACTATTTTGTTTTAATTTTATGTCAACATTTAAATGATGCAGTTAAATGATTGTATTTGAAACGTTATACATTTCACATGTGATTTGCTTTTTAATGTTAACAAAACCATGTTGAAAAACAGTATACCTAAACGAATAATATGTTTATCGGTATTATGTGCGTTTTTCAAACATGTCCTCATTTCTATCTAATTGTTTTAATTTTGTTTATTTATTTAGGTTTATTTTGCCTCTTAACTTGCATATGAAATAACATGAACCACAACACAATGAATGGTTTCCGCTTGCAGCTATACATGTAACTGCAATCTTAGACAGGGTTCGAACTTCACCGAATTAGTAGAATGTGGAACTTTGTCTTCATAAAACGAGAGGCTTTCTGACTTGGGGTTAAAAGAGGCAAAAATTGGAAAAGTCTAAGGTGACTGAAAGGAAACTTACATCAGCCGAGAGATCAGTGCGCAGAACGGATCCTGTTCCTTCCACATAGTATGCATACCTAGACATAAAAGAGATTAAAAGATAGATCAGTTTTAGGTCGATATGCCATCTCCTTGTTCTGTTGTCTCCATTTCCTTTTATCTGCAACAGGAAGAAGAAACAAATTATTACTAACACTGTACATACTGTACATGTTAGTAAAAAATTAATCAAATGTGTCTGTTCTGTGTCAATTTCTAATGGATAAATGTCACAGAAATGCTATAGAGACTTGCTTAAATGTCTCTACTCCGATATTTATAATCATTAATTATCATCACTATCATCATCATCAAATTCAACTGATGTAGTGCTTTTCAATTGACAGAGCCTGCACTTTTACATAATTCTGTGAAATGTGAATTCTCATTGTCATCTTCAAGCCGGGGAAATAATATGTTTGCAGGGGCTCAGGGAGAACTGTAATACTGTTGAGGCTATCCCCGGCCTGGGTAAACAAGACATGAATAATAATAATCATATCAATGTGAACAGAGTGAGTTAATCATCAGAAGCAATTTTGAATAAATAATATATCATTATTATCATCATCCTCATAAATACTCACTATGAACATGACGGACAAAGAAAGAGGACAAAATATATAGTTCCTCATTCTACCCTCAACGATTGCTGTGGTAGACAAAGGCACATCCCTTCACTGCTATTATGTGGCACTGGTTTTTTTAACATACACCAAATGTGTCCACAATAGGGTCTGAAATGAAATCATGTTTACTCACTTCAAACATGTATTTTTAGGATCAGGACTATTCATATTTTTGAGAAATGCAAATTTTGGACCTTAATCTATCTTCTTATTTATTCACCAGATATGAATACTTTGAGTTTTTACAATTTTGTTGTGAACTATAGCATATCTAATAACTGTGATATAAAACTCATTTGCTATTAACTTCACCAACAAATATGTTGGTCTTTAAGAATATGTTTCAGAGATTATTCATGCAAATTTTTGAGTTTCTATCTTGAAAAATACAGATTTTGTGTCCCTTGAAAGTGAAAAATAGCTCCAAATTAGGGTTTTGACAATAACAAGTTTTTATTTCAATAGGTAAAATGTTTTTTTCTTAGGTCAAACTTATTTTATTATAACAACTGATGATATAAGTTAAATACATCCCAAAAAATTGGGGAACCAGTGCATTGCCTAATAATTTTCATATGTCACACCACTGGTGTTTCGGACGTTACACACTGTTAACATCATAACTTTATTCAAGTTAATTGCTTTTCTTTAGGTATTATTGACCTAAGTTACATTAATTGTTTGCAGAAAAATATTTCTTTAACATTTATTGAAAAACTTGTGCAGTTTTAATTAATTTTACACATATACCTAGTTTGTCTTCATCGACTACTCAATTTATGTAAGGTAAACTATTCATTTCAGGAACGTGTAGTTAAAAATGCTTATGTGATCTAACAAAGTGAAATATGGAGCTAATAGCAATTGTAGTCATCACAACTCCTAGAAATTTCACTTTATACAAACATACTCTCTTTTGCAGGTTATGAACAACAGTGTACAATATATGCTATAGTTTGTTTCGGATGTTACAAGATGTGAACATTTCAATCAGATCATCAATTTCTTCAAACTTTACAACATAGATGTTTACTCGGCTTGCTTTGTACTTTGCCTTAAACTAGATTCATGTAGTGTGTCATTCAATAATATTGCTATCACATACATGTACAGTGTGTACAGTGTAAGCAAAACATTACAAAAATACTTTTAACAAATAAAAGTATACAAAAGTATCCCCAACCATTTAAGTAATAAGAAATATGGGAATCCTAATTCATTGTACATGTACATCCCGATTTTTTGCATAAATTTGAGGAAGTTACTATATCTTTAGGATCATGAAATGATCATTAACATGTACATTTTGTTATGAGGGTCAAGCATTTGAAAATTATTTGTACATAAGGCTAGTACATTTGAGGGTAATTCATCCAATGAAAGGAAAAAATTATGAATTAATTAATTTTGAAGAGGCTACACCTTATTTTCATGTTCATGCTTTATTACCCCCACAAATTGGTAATCCATTTTCTTGTCATTTGGAAATTTGGCAGATCTACATCTATGTCAACATTATGTTGTACAAGTTTCTATAATTGGTATCGGATACTGATTACTGATTATTGTTTTATAATGGAAGCCTTTGTGCTCATCAATTGTACATGTATGCAACCAATGAGTGTGTCATGTACATGTAGTGTGCAAGCCAATTTCATAAATCTGCTTGATAAATTGTTATTATTAAGCGTAAATGCCAATTCCAGTTTTGGATAATGGCAGTAGCAATCCTTTCTACATAGATTAGTTACATGTACTGAGTGCCCTTTTAAAAATGTATTTTCAGATGAAAATACTTATTTCTCATAAATTTTTAGAAAAACATTTTAATTTGCTTGATTTTATCAACTTCATATACCTGTATCATATCCATGTCATGACCATGCACACTGGGTATTGCTTAAGTGGGTGATTTTGATTTTTGTAACCTACCAGATAGTGTAAATTGACCATACAATCTTTGGTTATATGACATCATTTTGAACAGCCTCTATAAAAATGAAAACCTCATGATTTGCAAACACACACCAATGTAAATAGCAAAAGGAGAGGTTGATCAAATGAAATTTGCTATTCTCACATCTATCATTGCCCCTCATTTGAACTAGTTAAAGTATGAAAATGTCTGTTAACAGTTTAATGTAACGTCCGAAACGTGCCAACAGCATACCAGAAAGTGCTCTTAAAGTGGCTGAATATTTGTTACGAGTCACTTTTGTTGAGATTTTTTCTGATAAATTACAATTAAGGATATACTGAAGCAGCCAGCCATGCCTTGCATCACAAAGTGTGGCTTCAATATTTTATGTTTTATAAGTCAATTTTGCAGAAAATCTAGATATTTTACGGATTATTTGATTTTTGGCATCATATTTCTACACATTTTTATATTTATATCTGAATAAAATCATCAAAATAGTGTTTTTAACAGGAGTGTCCATTGTGAAATGGTAACTTGCAGATATGATCGAAAATTAGGTGAAATTTGTCGACTTTGTGTTAACAATATAATTGTGTAACGTCCGAAACACCATTCTTGTGATTACAACAAATTAATGGATTTGAAAGACCTGATTTGTGTTTTGACTTGTGTTAAGACTTATAATAACTTATTTCATAATGATTTATTCACTCTAGATACCTTAAAATATGGATTATTATCATTTTATTGGTATTTTTTGTTTCGGACGTTACATTTGTTTCGGACGTTACAACTGTTAACGGAAAATTGGTTTTAACTATAAAATAGTATTGTAGTAATGTATTGCAAATTTCTTTGTTTTGGTGGGTAGCTGCAATGAGATGTTAACAAAATGTTATGATAGATATATCCTGCTGTTCATATATTTTCTGCTACTTCAACTTGAAAATTGTTTCGGACGTTACAAAACTGTTTATGGAAAATGAGACAACTTTTTCAAATTTTGAGTATATTTCTAATATAAGCGCTACTATAATTAAATTATATTTTCTTTTAATATAATCACTTGGAGCAACTAATAAACTCACTCAAACCATATACAATCTCATTAATTTGTTGTTCTAGTGGGTTAAATGAGGGTCTACATTGTTTACGGAAAATGTAACGTCCGAATCGCCATTTTCAATTGCACTTTTCCATTAAAATAGGGGAGTTGATTCAGATTACTGTTAAGTTTCTTTAAGATCCACTCATGCTCATTAATCATCAATAGAAAAAAAACATATTGTTTGTGGCTATATATTTTTTTCAGCTCCGACCAAAATGGCATGTCAATTTTGTTACAAAATTCCGTAAACAATTTGCTGTTCAGGGATATCTCATGCGCATAAAGCAACAATGAAAATTTTTCGTTAAGCTATGGGAGGTTAACCTAGGTCCATGCTACAATAAAAAGTTGTTACTGATTTCTAATTATTTATCTTTGGAAAGTTTCAGGCTCTCAAAGGGCCATTTAGGTATTTGGTCATAGTTAAAAAAACCAGTGCCATGTACAAATGTGTAGAACAGGTGAATATGGATGCGACACCTGTTCTACACATTTGTACATAATAGCAGTGAAGGGATGTTTCTTTGTCTACCACAGCAATTGTTAGGGTAGAATGAGGAACTGTATATTTTGTCCTCTAACTTTGTCCGTCATGTTCATAGTGACTGGTACTGTAGCTACTTACGCCTTTGTGAAGCAGCGAGTCTTTGTATCCTCCACCGTCACTATGTCCATCACGTTAACATACTTGAGTAAAATCCTGTCCGGTATTAGGTACTCCGCCATAGACTCTTCACTCAAATCGGCCTGAAGGTAGTCGCCTATTTTCCTTCTCTCATCATCCTCACCCGTTTCCTGTTCATTCTGTTCACTTGAAGACACCATATCTTCACAGCTACCACTCTTCACATTATCTGTTCTTTCCTTCTCATTCAAATGCTGCTCATCTGTTTTTCTTTCAATACTTTGCTCATTCAGGGATACCATACTAGATTCATCTTGCCCTGTTCTTTCACGTGACTCTGTTAATTCCATATTTGTCTGCTCCTGTGAGGACACCATAGAGTTGTCACAAACCAGTCTGCTAGTTTCCTTTATCTCATTTGGCATTAAAGGCATATTCACTCTGTGCTGTACTAGTTGAGTGCCATGTTCCTCTTTGAACTGTAGAGGGCGCTGTTTGGCAAGCATGAAGTAGCGTACACGTTGATTGGGTATGCCAATATTCATAGGTGATAGTAGGAATTCCTGTAACATTAAAAAAGAAAAACTCTGATAAATAGAGGAAATTTCAAATACACAGGGTGTTAACTAAATGCAAATAAATGCGAGTACCGGTATAGCAGATATCCCATACTTTTACCATATTTTAAGCCCATTTTCTTTAAAATGGTTATCAATAACTGCAGCAACTCTATGAAACATGTGATCACAGCCAATCAAATCAATTACTAACCGATATAAATTAATAGAAACAGGGTAAAATGATAATAAACTGATTTGATAAAGTGTTTAATACAATACACCGTCTGTAAGCGCTTTACAGATATGATATCATTAACTTATTCATCAGATTCATTCATGCACAATGTGTACAGTCTCCACTCCCCGGGGAGTATTCCTACCATATGGTCTCCGTGGGGGCATAGGCAATTACTAACACAAAGGCTTCTATCATCCTACGAGGTCCACATTTCTCTCTTGGGTATGGAGTGGCAAATGTAGATTAATGCCGTGCCAAAAGACATTATAGAGCCGTGTCTGGATCGAACCACAACCTTTGAATTTTAAGTCAAGTACTCAACTATGACACCTCTACGGTAATCACTCCTACCATGAGCTTAAATGAATCATGAAATCAAGATTACAAATCATTACTTTGAACGAATAATAGATCACTTGGCTCTTCATAAAAGTTAGCAAATTTAGTTGATCAACATTCTCATCACACCAAAGCACAAATAAGAAAAATGATTTTCACCTCCAATTATTTTTTTTTAATTATTAAATAATTACCTGAAAGACGTAATTGCACTTCTGAAGAGTCTCCACAAGAAAGTTTCTATGAAACAAAGACAAAGATTGAAAAACTGACAGAATCCTCAATTGAACATTGCTACAGGTCATATCAATACAATTTCTTAGATTTTTTTAGAGTCTATAAAGACACTTTTTTAAATCAAAATACCAATGTTTATTCGGTGATCTGTGAAATAGAAATCCAACAGTAAAAAATGAAGATATTTGACTTACACCAACTTTTAAAGCCATATCTTACTGTAAACCACTCCAGCAAAGCAGAGAGTCGATGCTATTGCATATTGACCTCTAGCACTGCATTACGTGTTAATAGGCAGCAATTGCACACATGAATAAGTCAATACACTATGACACATGAATAGTCAATAACACACAAATGCACACAATAAAGACGATGTGGCTGTCATCAAGTTTGACAGTAGACTCACGATTTGAATTTTTGAATTATTCTTTCTAACATCGGTAAGTTGAAAAAATTGTATTTTACTGCTATTTTAGGTGTCGTCAATTGTTACCAAAGCAACGATTTTGAGTGAAATCAGTCAAGTTTTGTACAGTGGTGTTTGAAATGTTGAGAATCAATAGAACAGGTTTTAATACACAGCCAGGATAGTAATGCAGCTATGTGTGCTGTAAATTAATATTTCCATAATGTGTGCAGAGCTTTTCATTAACTATGATTTTAAGAGAATTAAGTTGATACACTAATTTTGAAGATCCCATACCTTAAATACACAATCATTCATGTTTACTATTGTAATCAACATTTCAAATGCAATGGCATGACAATTTTTTTAATTTTCCTTTGAATCTACTAAAATAATAGAAATGTTGCCCATTTGAATGTAGTATACCTTGTTTCCGATGTGTCAAATCCTTTCACGTTTTCCACCAGTAAATAGGTCGGTTTCTTGGCCATTCTGTAAAATAAAACACAAGTACAAGAGGGTTTTAATAGAATATCAAAAATTACATCTATCAACTCTCAAATTCACTTAATATAAATGCCTAGTGAAACCTACCTTATTAATTATCGATGTGGCTTTTATTTTGGCTAGAAGATTTCAATGCAGTAAAATTCTGACAAAACTAGTCTGACATGATTGATGACTGGAGCTGCACTGCTATATTTAATACATCTTCAAAATGGCTGCCAAGATGGCTGACATGCAGTCCATGAAACAATAACAACCAATCACAAGATTGTACCTGAAGTAAGGAACCAATAGAAGGCCTGAGGAAAGATAGAGTGCCATGTGTCTATAGTGAGCTGGGCTGAAGAGCCAAGAGATAGAAAAAGATAGAATGTGTGTGGTGTGTTGGTGCTATGGCAAGCAATGTTGAATGGGTACAGGATGAATAGGGACAGAACAATAGAAGTCAAGAGCTTAACAGACATCAGGTGATGAATGTAGGTCAGGAGTGTCCTGAAGCATGACAGAGTGGAAAGCTAAGCGTAAATTAACAAGCAGGAAGCTGTAATGAATGGACATACTGTCTCAAAAGAATTTCTGAGGGAAAGATATTCAAGATTAACTTGGCTTAAAAACAAGAAATGTAACCCTCTCCAGCCATCAAATCCATCAACAGCTGTCCTTTTCAATGCACAGATCCCCTCTGGCATTCCAAATATTATGAAATGTTACGCAACGCCATCTGCTTCCCTAAGATCTCTAATACTCTCTGTCTTAAAAATATGCAAACAATTTTCTGCACCCCTCCAAATTGCGGGTCAATCAAAAAAATTCTATGTGACTCATTTTCTTAGGAATCAAATGCATTTTCATAAAAAGTCATAGTATCTTTAAAAATGAGGACATTTTTCTGTGAAGATGGAATATTATGTAAGGTTTTAATTTTACTAATCTAAATGGTTACTTGTTGAATTACTATTCTCATTATTATTTAGAAGCTAAATCAGGAAAATGATATCTGTGGCATCTTTTCATAAATTTGACAGTTGAAGACTTAAGAGAGTATGCCTAAAGTCACTCTGATCCATAATGAAAGAAGAGAAGAGAGCAGAAAAGGGAAGTGAAGAAATGGAGCCATATTGGACAGGAGAGGAAATGAGAGAGAATTGGATCTCGAAACAGAAGGAGAGAGAAGAGAACTTGTGAAGAAAGAGGAGAGCTCTGATATGAGAAGAGAGTAGAATTAAGGGAAGGGATAGAGAGAGAGAGAGAGAGAGAGAGAGAGAGAGAGAGAGAGAAAGAGAGAGAGATCTACTAAATACAATTGCCACTTTCCTTAAAACAGATTGCAGGACAATCCATAATGTGCAGTGAGCTTAAGATTTTAAGAAAAAGGTCCTCAAAAGGCTCTTGGTTGATTACTAATAAACAATTACACATTATATACATGAAGTTGCTTTCATTGCAGAGAAGCAAAATTGCAGTATCAAAATAAATATATGTTTTTAGAGAGCAAAAAGGACATTATCTGATATGTTTTAAACATGGAGTTATCACCTTTCTGGCTCTCAACAGACGATACAAATTTAAAGCCCCACTGTACTACTTGTATCTACTTGCTTCCTCTATATAGAAAACTTCCCCAATCGGTGCCTGTTGGTCCCCCATGATCCACTTTTTCTTATGTTAATTGAGAGCTGAGTTGATGAGATAGCCACCTGTCAGTGACCACGCTGTGTGGTCTAGTCCCTTCTGGGTAAACTAGTACAGATGGCCTTTAAAAGAAATAGACTTACTCAGCAAGGTTCCTCATTATGTTGAAGAAAGCGTTTGTCCTGGCATCGTTCTTGTCTCCTTTCAATCCAACTCTGGCAAAAGAGATTCAAGAAATTAAATTTGTATGAATAACAACAAATAATAATACAAATACAAATACATATAGCGCTTAATACATAAACAATATTTCAAAGTGCTTTATATATGTATCACTACCAAAGACATCAGATTCAGGCTTGTCAGCACACAGTACATCTATATGCACTTCCTCCTCTCCCTGGGGAGTATTCCAGCCAAGTGCCATTTAACAAACAGTTCAGTTTGGATATGGTCTTTAAGTTTTTCCAGTGCGATATGAATCTATACCAGTGTTAAAAGGGTTGACATAGAGCTAATTTTGAGACATTTTGCAAAGCCATTGTGTTGCACAAAGCAATACTTTCTTTAATTTGTGCCTTTTGTTTTGCGGCAAACAAGCAATCATGCACAGAGGTGAAGAAAGAAATCAAAGTGTTAAATTCCTTTCCCTCTATAATCGGGGGTACAGTTTACCAACACAGTAACACCAAGATTAATAATAATAATATACCGCAAAAGTTATGAACCTCTCAAGGGGAAATTAAGAATGCAGTCTGTTTTGTATACTTTTCACACAGAATATTTCAGAAAAAGAGAGGAAACTATGGTTCAAAACAGTAGCTTGAAGACTAAAAAATAGGAATGGTTGGCAGCTATGAAATAATGTTGGAGTCCTATAAAGCACTCATGGCGCTCGATTATCATTACCCTGGCTTTAGTGCAACTAACTACCATTTCAGCACTTTAACATTGTAAGGACAATTATTCATACCACAAACCACCTCACCTGGGTGGAGTATGGCAAATGTAGATTAATGTCTTGCCAAAGGGCATTGGTGCTGTGAAAGGGATTTGAACCCTGTACCTCGTGGTTCATAGTCTAGAGACGCATCCACTGTACCACAACACCTCAAAAAAAGATGATTTTGAAGGTCCAGCAACGTAACTCCATATTTTGCCAAAATGAGTTTTTGAATCAAAATGTTCAGAAAAACGACTTATTACTCCACCCCACACCCTTTGAAGTCAATGGCTAGTGAAACATAGACTTAAGTCCTTAGGGCTCAGTGACACATAAACCACTTTTTCGGCAAAATGGCCAAAATGGAGTTACGTCCTTGCGTCCATTTCTTACCTTGTGAATGGTTGACAAGGAGGGCTCATTACAAACATATCAGCATCAAACGAAGCAAAGTCATCTACGGTAAATCCCTGCAATTATACAAAATTTGAAGAGAATTTGAAGTTAGAAAGCGCCCAAAAATGAGCAAGGGCACAAAAAGTACCCCTTTGTGCCCTGTTAACTACATAATCATATAAAATTCAGTCTATATTTCAATAATGATATACAGGAAGCCCTTTAGCCACTTAGGTAAATGGAAGTGCTCTAAAAGAAACAGTCATTATCAATGTAAATGATAATGTGAGAATGACGGAGGGGGGGGGGGGGGGAGAGAACAGTAAGAGATGGAGACGGGCATATTTAAGAAAAAAACAGAAAGAGAAAGAGAGTCGGAGAGAGACAGACATCACCAATATTGATAACGTTCTATACACTCTTTCACCAATATTGTTTCCAAGTTCTATGCACTTTTTTATCAAATAATGCAACTTTACACAAGACAGTTTTTTATTTAAAGGTAGATTTTGCCTTTGGTACTGTAAACTAATAAATAATCTCTTGCCAATAACCACTGTATTACACCAATCATTCAAACCACTGCCAAACTCACAAATCCTCTCTCCCAAGTCTCCAACTTATAATCAAAACTGAGCCCTAAATTAATACCACTCACTCAGTGTAAGTCCAGTCCAGCTCTGCATGTGTTTTATTGTACATACAAGAACCCACTATTATTATTATTTATTATTACATGTAGCATGCTGTCCATGTGCAGCCTCATGCAAAGTATATTCAAATGAAATACATTACCAACCAATGGCAAAATAGGATTCAAGAATAAAACTGAATATTCATAAGGAAAAGGAGAAGAGAACCATCGATAAGTAAGAGGTGGAAATATGTAAATGAGAAGAGAACTTACCACCTGTTTTAAGAGTTGGTATGTGGAGGAGATGAATGGAGGAAATGAATATGCAAATGATGTGAAATGAATATGTATAGAGAGAAGAGACTAGAGAAACGAAGAGTAATTGTGAAAAATACAAGTAGGGAATAAGTCTAATTTTAACTCTTACAGTATTGAAAATGTTAAAACTTGAAATGCTAACCTCTAAGTTTCTCTGCATGAGGTTGACTTCAGGGAAGTTGTGTTGGTATACAGCATTGGCTACCGTGTTGATTTCCACAGCAGCTACCACAGTACACGGGACTCCACAGGCTGGAATATAAAGAAAGAAAATAGCAAATTTGGGTTAACCGGTAAAAGTTTAAAGTTGCTAAAGCGTGGGTATATAGAGGGCAGCAGACGGACATACGCACAGGAGCGTAATACCCATTGGCTCAGTGTTATGAAGTGATCGCCAAGTTGCCTACTTCACAAACGACTATATACCCACGCATGAACATCTTTAAAGCTAATCTTGAGCTCTGGTATGGGAATCATATTTTGAGAAAAAATGGGCTATGATATCTTCTGGATTGTTTATCCTGCAGTAGATTGGTTGTTTGAACCAGTGAAATAAAAACAAAAACAAAAGCTTCCTGAAGTTCCTGGGTATGTCATCTTCGATAAAAACCACAACAAAGATGAATGCTGTTGATAAAATTAAAGAGTCCAATCTGCTGCTTGCCAGTGAAAGTTGATATGAAGAAAAAATGTGCGAGGGAATGAAGATGCTGATAAATGTCCTAAACTGTACGGTACGAGCTCGGTAGAAAACATGTTCCCTATCTGAAAACTTCCTACTAAGTGGAATCTCCAAAACAGTGGAGGGATCAACTAAGAAGAAGGTGTAAGAACAGGTGAATATGTATGTGACACCTGTTCTACAGATTTTTACATAATAGCTGTGAAGGGACGTTCATTTGTCTACCATAGCAATTGTTGAAGGTAGAATGAGGAACTGTATATTTTGTCCGCTTTCTTTGTCCGTCATGTTCATAGTGTGACGTAGCAATAGCAGAAAACAAGTGATGACTGCTGACTGGAGCTGAATAGAAACGAATGTCTTTGCTCTTTTAATCTCCAGTGAAATAGGTGCAGACACTATGAACATGACGGACAAAGAAAGCGGACAAAATATACACACTATGAACATGACTGACAAAGAAGCGGACAAAATATACAGTTCCTCAGGTAGACAAAGGAACATCCCTTCACTGCTATTATGTAAAAATGTGTAGAACAGGTGTCAAATGCATATTCACCTGTTCTATACATGTTTACATAATAGCAGTGAAGGGATGTTCCTTTGTCTACCTGAGGAACTGTATATTTTGTCCGCTTTCTTTTTCCGTCATATTCATAGTGCATGCTTTGCCTTTGAAAACAGGAAATGCTGAGTGAACTTTTACTACAGTACAAGCATCATTCAGTGGAGGAAGGATACAAGAGAGATCCAGAATAAAGAAATTTTATAATAAACTCAAAAAATGATGGACACAAAAAAGTCACAATAAATCAATATGATGGTCAAAAATATTAAAACAAAAGAAATATGAAATTGAAAAGAAGCAACAAACTTGACTAAGATTGTCATAATAAAGTTTAAAAATCGCCAACTTCAGCCTACTCATGGTCCTTCCACCCCCCCCCCCCCTAAAGGAAAGAGAAGTCACAGAAAGACACACATTCAGGACATTTCAGCACGTACATGTACAGTTCACGTGCAGGTGCATGCAGTCATTGTCAGTCAGGCACAATTAAAAAGTCGACACAATTTGCAGTAAGTGGGCACGTTGTAAAGAAATTTGGTGCATGCCCTTGTTATTTTCACCCGGAAAAACTAGAAACCATCCCATATCATTAACTAAATAACTTTAAATTGATCAAATACCTTTCACGGCACAGTGAAGACCTCCAACACCACTGAAAAATTCCACAACACGAAGATTCTTGGTTTTTTGGTCACGATCGGATTGTTCACTGGAGGCTTCCAAGGCTTCCATCTTGAATATTGTTAGTCTTTGAGATCAGACCGCAGACAGAATCTTGATGTAGATACCTCTGGCAAAATTAACGTCAATCAATATAAATAACCAAGTAATCGAACATTATCTTTATCAAAATTTAGAATATGAATAATTTCTTTCAATTCTTCTTCGATGCCTTTAATTGCAAATAAAATGAAAGCTTGGATCAAGACGTGGTGTGTTGTCATAAAGGGGTACATATCTACAGACTAATCAATAATTCAGCACTCCTCCGAGAATTATGTACGCAACAGGTGAATGCATGCTTGCAAGGATATTGGACGAAGAAGGGGAAAAAAAGGAGGGGGTCATCTTTGGCGCTTCCTTTTAGGCCTATCATTCCCCTCGTCGGTCGACCCCCTTCTAATATTCTCCTCGCTCTCATCTCTCTCTATTCTTTTTCTCTCTCTCTCTCTCTCTCTCTCTCTCTCTCTCTCTCTCTCTCTCCCTCTCCCCCTTTCCCCTCCCCTCTCCCTCTCTAAAACATACAGGAAGATACCAGTTTCGATTTTTACAGCAATACCGTCATGGCAAAGATAATCTACCAAAGACTTTATTGAAAATCGTTTGCACGCCGTCCCGTCAACCACCCCCCCCCCCCCTCCCAACAAAAATAGTTTGACGTCCCTAGATATGAATACTAACATTTGGAACGTATAGACATCATACTTTGAGGCGAAAAAGAGACAGGTTAGTCCTAAAAGCTGAAGGCCAGTGCGAGGAGATTCAACAGGTAAGCATCAATCATGGCGACGGCTAAATGCAAAATCGCGTTCTGAAGGACGAGATGAACCTGAAATTGAAATAAAGAATACAAATTAAATGGTATTTAGATCTCTGGTTAGAACTCTATCACAACTTTCTGTATCTGTCAAAATGTCATAAATACTGCAAATTAATGTTTCTTAGAAATATGTTGTTTTGCATTTAGTTCACAGTTCATATGCCATTTCTCGTTCCCCTCAAATTAAAGTGAATGCATGTACCACAAAATGATCTCTTTTTTTAAATGGATTACTTATTATAATTAAATGCTTTAATATTCAATGCAAAAATATGTTGATATGTTTCTATTTCTCGTTATCTTCGATCTTATTCGATAATTGAGCAAGTTCAACCTTTTTTGTCCCGGCTCTTTCGACCTGCACATGAAACATTTAATATTCATTATATCTGATTATTGTATGAAGTTAATAGCAATACTGGAGCTTGTATCAGACAAATATTAATATTATATAATGCTTATAAAGTTAATATTATGAACGTTTGTATTCTCGAACATGGACTCCAACTGACAAAAATCCTGGACTTGCTAACATGGCGAGATCTTCTAATAAAAACCTGAACATAACTTTTAAAAATAGCAACTACATGAGCCAGTTAAATGACATTCGCAATATGCTTACTTGTACATCTATAAGCCAGTCGACCAGTATTTCACCATGTAATGGATCCACAGTAGGTGAGATCGATGCACTCCTCGTAGCAACAACACTTTCTCTTTCCTGGAATATTTGGTTCAGACGGAAAATAGAGAAAAACTTTCCATTTCACAAAGTAACAATTTCACAAAGTATTACAACCAACCAATCACAACTCTCTCGCATTATAAATCAATGGATAATGACGAATGCATTTTCAACCGGTCTTAGAACTTTGTGTTGCAATAGTTATGAACACGATTCATATAATTTGTAAATAATCATTCCCATTTAATAATCTTGCATTCTTTAATCATGAATTAAACTGTTTGAACATCGCATGTATCACATTGTATACGCTTTTCGAAATTGCAATCTTTTAATTTTAAGTGACCCCCCCCCCCCCCCCCCCCCCCCCCCCCCCCCCCCCCCCCATCACGGATATTTCTATTTTGAAGAAAAAAATATTGGGTTATCGAGGGCACTGTATATTTGTGGAGGCACCTGCCTCATTGCCCCCGCCCTTCACTTCGACTACGCCCCGTGTTTCTTACCGTTAGATAAAACAGAATATCACCGGCCTGGTATCCATCACGGGAGATCAATGATGAATCAGTTTCCATGGATACGTCAAAGAAATCGTTGAAGTTGACCTTTCGCATCAGGAATATCATGTCGTCCTCGGAGATTTGACATGCTGAAGTATAAAGTACAAATCTTATGGATATTATTAAATTTTGTGTTATTAATAAAATAAAAAACATACAAAAGAGGAAGTGTTTGGCCATTGCAATCCATACAAAGTGTGGATTCATATTTGTATGTTTTCTTTATATAGCTTTGATTATATTATGTAACTATACTAATTAGTCTCATCCCGTCCCCCTCTTTGATGTCTGAATTTCTTAATTTCATTCATGTCTTTGGGAGACGGAAATATTTCTTAAAGGACTCGAATTACTTTTGCCTTAGCCTCAAGGGCAATCACACTAAATGTTGTTGTCCATTTGTTTTTCAATTGTTTTTTTTTTCTTTCTTCAGAATCTTATGAAACCGGCTTCCTCGCCATGCGCAATGTTTTAACATTCATTTTTTTAACTCTTCGCAAATCAAGTACAAATTCATTGAAGTCACTTCTTGACCTTTACATCTCAGATAAATGTGCAGACTTTACATGTTCTAGAGTTAAGAAACAGAATCACATTCATTCGTTTCTACTATTATACTGATTTACAAATTGACTGGGTCACTAGTCTGTGATCTCTCAACATAAGCGTTATTTTTCATTGTGATTAAAGAGAAGTTGATCCCCATATATAGAACTCATATGAAAACATCCCAGTTGAAGTGTATTCTTGTTAGACAATATTGTAATTGAATATCATGCCATACCTGACGGTGCTCCATCTATGGGCGTATTGGTAGGTACCTTCACGGGAAGTTCATCGTTGAGGACCTCGACCTTCAGATCGCAGTCCCTGATTGGAGGTCACTGAGGTCGTAAGTCCTTTCCCGACGAGAGCCAGCCGTCGACCTTTTGACCTAGGTCTGTAAATGGGAATCTTCGAGCCATCTCTTCTGCCGATGTGCACAAGAGGACCCTCATCGACTGACTGTCTGGATGTAGGGTAGATAGTGTTCTTGTGCTGCAGGATGTGTTGCCCACCATGCTTTTCCTCAAAGCTGGCCGTCTCCCTCTGCTCTCCTTGCCCTGCTCACATTTGGATATCCTATACCAAGTACCAGGGATATGAGAGTTTATCCCTGATCCTACCAAGTACACGCGACCGCCTCACAACTCTTGTGGCATCCATGTTATCTAGCCAACCTCGCTCTTGTTCTTTTCACGTTCAGAAGTTCACTGGTGATCTGGCAAACGGTACAATTAATATTACATAATCATGTTCAGGAAACATTGCATGTACCAATTAAAGAAAAATCTATGTAGATTATACACATGAATCATTAAGAAATGAATTCCAACATTTTCCTGAAGGTTGGGTACTTAGCAAAGAATTGCTCTTTTAGCTGCCGGCTTACCGTTAACCTGAAAGGGGGATAGAAATAACATTCAAAGACTTGATGACACATTTGCCCGAGTTGCCAAGTGTAATTTGAGTACAAACCAGGGGCGGATCTAGCTTTTTGCTAAGGGGGGGGTTGACCAAAATAATGACGATGCGGAGCATCGTCCACGAGCCGCGAAGCGGCGAGCCGATTTTTTGGGGGGTGTTTATTTGAACCCCGTAAGTGATGTTTTCCTGGCATCTATTAACACAATGGAGACCATAAAAAGCAGTGCATGATAACGTCTTTTTAAATCAAGTAACAGTTTAATACATAGTTATATTCAGAGTTATCATGTGTTTGGTTAAGTTACCAGATGAGTTGAATATCTTCTCACAATATTTGCACTTGAAAGGGTTTCTCTCCAGCGTGCGTTCTTTTTTCTTTCTTTTTTTTTTTTTTTTTTTTTTTTTTTTTTTTTTTTTTTTTTGGGCCGCCCAAGGGGGGGGGGGGGGTTGCAACCCCCCAACCCCCCCCCCCTGGATCCGCCACTGCAAACATGCATGTACAAAATATCTAACGATATATAGGCGTGACACTAAAAGTAGACATTGATTTGAAGACCGATCCTAAAGCGGTACATGTTCCTGAAACTCACCGAACAGAAGTCTTGAAGATCATCAAGAGCCCCAACAATCTAAGCCGCGTTGAATCTCTAGAATGAATATGGGTTGCAAAGAACACACCCGCTGGTGTCAGCCGCAGGTGACATTTAACGCACGGTGATTGGCTAGCGAGGTGGTATCACGTGATGTCATCTTTATGTGCGTGTAGCGGAGTGTTTGCATAATTCATTCACATTCAAGAAAGAATGCTTGAAACCCGGTGCTTAACTGAGGATGACCCAGCACAGCAGTATCTCTAGTACCATACACTATGAAAATGACTGACAAAGAAAGCGTACAAAATATACAGTTCCTCAGGTAGACAAAGGAACATCCCTTCACTGCTATTATGTAAAAATGTGTAGAACAGGTGTCACATGCATATTCACCTGTTCTACATATTTTTACATAATAGCAGTGAAGGGGTGTTCCTTTGTCTACCTGAGGAACTGTATATTTTGTCCGCTTTCTTTGTCAGTCATATTCATAGTGATACACAATCTGCGTTCTTTTAATAGAATAACCTAAATACGAATAATGCCAGTTATTCATCTATTTACGATTACAGGAGCTACTTTTTAACGTGCTGATGATTAATGATATACACGTGTTATGTCCTTTTCTATTCAATAGTTAGAATGCGGGTCACAAAGAAATAGGCCATTTTCGTAATGCAACGAAATTTAATGCATACGTCTTTGTGAAGCGCCTCAATAAAAACTATTTCATTCACCTGATGAGAATAATTGTATTTCAAAAGACAGAATCAGAACTGCATACATGGATTTGCTTGCCCTACCTAGCAACACTTAAATATTATGCAAACTGCATATTATGCAGTTTGCATCCTGACTATTGAAATACTGTTATTCTTATCAGGTGAATAAAATAATTTGTATTGAGGCACTTCACAAAGACTTGTGTATTAAATTTGGTTACATTACGAAAATGGCCTATTGTAATATATAGGGCTATACCGGCGAAAAGCTTTTTTGTAAATATCTATTGGTGAAGTGATTAATCTAGACATAATTATAATCAGTGAATACATCGTGGTCGATTGGAGTCTCGGTTTCAACCAGAATAGACAAGTCTAGTAAGTTATTCAACTTTCATGCATTTACTAGAGCAACAATTTTATCACAGTGACCCGCACGCTTGTCGGAGGTTTGCCCGATTCATCAACAACTGGCCCGAATTCACAAAGGAGGTTTGTCGACAAACCGAGGTTTATGTGCGTCATACGACGCGTTTCGACGCGTTTTTACAAACCTTGGTTTGTAAAAAAAACAGAAGGAGGTTTGTCGAAACAAAAGAATTCGGGCCCTTGTGTTTGTAAAGTGGATTCCTTCCAATATAGAAATCTTATCAGACAATAAAGGGTGAATGTAAATAGTTTGGTGAAGTGTCCAAAGCCCCCCCCCCCCAGTGTTATTTAGGGTACGCATATGTGTGTTCCAAGCATCCCCCCCCCACCCTTTCAGCATAAGTCCGGTGTGGGGTTTTCGGAGTCAAAGAATCTGATTAAGATGTTCTTTCATCGATTTGAGGGATCCTTGGGGCTGTCATGCTGGTCATGCTGGTCAATTCCAAAAATGGCTGCCACCTCTGTGTAGTTCCAAAAGGAAAAGGGCTAGTATGATAAAAGTTTATAGATATTAAGGGGGTTTTCGGGGTCAGAGAATCTGATTATGATGTTCTTGTATCAATTGCAGGTCTCCTTGGGGCTGCAATGCTGGTCATATTGGCCAAATAAAAAACGACCGCCATCCGAGTTTCCGGGGTCGGATAATCTGATTATGATGTTCTTTTATCGATTTTATGTCCCCATGGACCTATTACGGATGGACATTCATCAGTTTCTTAACGAATTCATTGTGATTGTCTCCGTCAATGTCGTCTCAATTACATTCCGTTCATGTTTCTTCACTTTGATCTTATCATGGTCACCGCCAAAATCCGGGACAGAATCAAGATAGTGATTTTACACATGTTAATCTACACGCGCAGAAGATAATTACTTGCCTAAATCAATGAAAATCGATGTGCAGTTCTGGCTTCGGAAATTGTTGTTCCGTGTACTGAACATGTATTTTATTTTGAGAAACATATTGATATTACCAGATAGAGGTTATTTTTGGATTTGGGGGTTGTGATTGAAAATCCCGTTCCCCCCTATTTCCTCATAATATTCCAGAGTTACAACGCACAGGGCTGATACAGATCATGGCCTTCTAATTGTTTTATAAGGTCGTAGGTGTATGCGAAAGTTTGCGAATCAGTAATAATACATTTCATATCACCAAAATCGTCTGCTTTTCAACTTTGCTGCTCCCCATTGCAGGGATGCTTTTATTTAAGACACAATCTTACAGATCTAGAGCACACCATCCAAACAAAACCGAAGAGAGGGAAACTGCTCCTTTGTCAATGACCGAAAATGCTTACGCAGTCGTTATTGTTAAAACAGCTGAATGTTCTCATTAAGATGCACATAATCAGAAGGCGGCGACTATCATTGGATCAGAGAAAGAATCACTTTGAATGTCCATCCGTAATAGGTCCATGATGTCACCAATCCTGTCCTTAATGACAGGCTACAAGCATTTCTTGGTTGAAGAAGATGAGGGAAGATGCGCCAAATTCACACTTGAGTGGGTTAATGACTACAACGTATTTCGTGAGTTGTAAGAACCATTCGCGTACGCAGGATTTTTTCAAGGGAGAGTTTTAACAATTTCAAATCGGGCCGAAAATTTCGCAACGCCTCAGCCAGCCGCTGAAGAAGCGGGGGGGGGGGGGGGGCGTTCCGTGAGGGGGGGGGGGGGTAAAGTCAACTTTTTTAGGTCACCCATTTCCTCCAAATCCCCCCCCCCCCCCCCTGAGTACGCGACTGCATTATGCGTGTTCCCAGCAACCTTCAGCAAAAATCTGGTGTGTAAAGTCAATACGGGTAGATTTTTTTTCTTTGTTATACGAGCCTTTTCAGCACCCCCCCCCCCCCTTTCAGCAAAAATCTGGTGTATAAAGTCAATACGGGCAGATCTTTTTCTTTGTTACGAGCCGGAGATTTTGGGAACACGCATGCGGTACCCCCGTTTCCAGAGTGGGGGGGGGGGCGGGGCAAGAATAGGCTCATATGCTCACCATGGATTGATTTAACCTCTAGGCGCACTACTGCGCACTGAAAAGCGTGCAATAGGACTGGAAAATATTGCACGCTTTTTCATGAAACAGCGTGCAATAGGCCATGGAGTTACTATAGGCTAGTAACTCCATGAAAAGGTTCAGTAAATAAATCACACGTGACCGCGCATGACCAATCATTTGGGATCTGGGAGTGAGCTATAGTTGTATAAATAAAACTATACAGAAATGATTTCTCTTCTCCATAAAAGCGTTTTTTATTGTGATTCACTGAAGTATGAGGTATTGTGTTTAATCATAATCGCTGAAACCGCGATATTCTATTCCTCTCTATAATATTAGGCTTTACAGTTTCAAAACTAGCTCTACACTAGCTTGTCGGTCTGTTCACGTCGAACTCTGTTTTAACTGTAACGTCTTTGCGTAGGTTTTGGTGTACCGTACTTTCATCATGAGAGAGAATAGGGAAACTGTTTTATTGGTTGGTTTACTGGCTATCATCAGCATCACCGCGCTGGTGCTCGGGGTCGTGGGCTTGACTAAATCCAACGGGGCGAGCCCGGGCGAGGCGCAGCCAGTCAACGTATACACTTCTGGATCGTCCGATGCACGTATGTATGGACACACCGTCACACACGTACTATATTTATTGCCCATTAAGTTAGATATTCTTTTCCCTATCTCTTTTCGTGAAATGACGGAGACACAGGGGCGGTTCTAGCTTTTTTGCTAATGGGGGAGGGGTGACAAAATGACGATGCGGGGCATCTTTCACGAGCCGTTTAGCGGCGAGGCGATTTTTGTTGTTGCTGCTATTTTGAATCCCCGTAAGTGATTTTTTACTAGCATCTACTTACACAACGGAGACCATAAATATTAGCCTAAATAGCCATTCGACCAAATGATTGGACCATGTGGATAGTAGACAGGTGTAGACCATATGAGAATAGACTAATTGGGTAATAGACGAACTGGGACCCGTTTCACAAAGCCTTTTTTCAATGACAAATGACAAAAATCAGTGACAAATCTTTTAATAACCAATCAGAAGCAAGGATTTCAGGAGCTTATAACAAAAACTGTCATGTGTCCCTGATGACAAGTTTTGTGAAACGCCCCTGGTTGTAGCCCAAATGGCAAGTCATCCAAACTAGGCTGATTCCACACCAGACAATAAGAGTCACAAATAATAAATATTTGTCGATGGAAGCTTTTCATAAACTTGACCTCCTTTTGAAGCTTTCTCCACAATATCCATCCAAGTTACGTGAACAGATTTTGGAGGGCTTTTCTTGTCACGCGCCGAACCGCATCTAGGTCAGTTTGGTTTTATACGTCTGGCATTGTATTGTTGTAGAGTGTAGTGTATTTATTTTTTGTTTATGTATTCATGAAATAATCTATTTAGAGCTATTTTGTAACTTTCCTTGATTTTCCCCCCTTTATAATAAGCACGATAAATGAACATTTTATGTTATTTTTGTTAGTCTTGGAATTACCTAGATATGCCTGCTGGCCTTTGTGATTCCCACCACATTATGAGGAGTGTTTCTTTCAAATCTTTGTTTTATACATGTAAGGCATATATAGGCCCATATGAACACACAGACACACACACTTTTCTTTAACAGTAATTTTGTTTTATTCCTTCAAATACAATCATAATTTTTAATTACAAAAATAAACGTTTTCAATATTGATTGCTTATACATAAACATAATTAAACAAAAACTCATATTCAGTATAAAATAACTGAGCAAATATTCAGAGTTAGTAAACTTAAAGTACATAAACAAATGCAATTCACAAATGCAATTCAAATTGAACACGGTGGAGGGTTATTGTACTCAGATATTTCAGATCATTTTCCAATATTTTATGTTGCAAACAAAATACACTCATAATTTACCTGTAAAGGAATCCCGTTTCATGATATTGATAAATGATTCTAGGATTGATGATTTTAAAAAGAAATTGAGCTGTGTAGACTGGAATCCTATTTATGCCTCAAAAGATGTGAATCATGCTTATGACATGTTTTACTCTATTTTTTATCGTTTCTATAATGAATGTCTCCCTGTCGTTCGCAATAAAATTATTAAAAAAATAAGAATCCATAAACCCTGGATCTCCTCTGGCATTATAAAGTCAATTAATAAGAAAAATAATTTATATAAAGATTCTCGAAAATATTCTGGACCATCAAAAACTAAAAGAAAAAAAGAAGAGAAATATAAAAAATACAAAAATTCATTGATTAAAATCATCCGCTCTGTTAAACTTGTTTTTGAACGTTTATATGATTTTCTGAATTATAATAATATATTGATCTTGCAACAATTTGGTTTTCATAAAAAATATTCCAAATACATGCCTATATTTTATATGTATGATCGTATAATGCAAGAAATAGATAAGGGTAATTTTACTGTTGGTATATTTTTAGATCTCTCAAAGGCATTTGACACCGTTGACCATGACATACTTCTTAAAAAAATGGAACATTATGGAATCAGAGGTCATGCTCTTGATTGGTTTCATGATTATTTATCAAATCGTATGCAATATGTTGTGGTCAACGGTGTCAAATCAGATTTAAGTCGTGTATTATACGGAGTTCCGCAAGGGTCTGTTCTCGGCCCGTTATTATTTTTGTTATATATTAATGATTTCATAAATTGTTCTTCAATTCTTAATTTCATACTTTTTGCGGATGATACCAGTATTACTCTTTCTAACTCAAAAATCAGCACATTAATTCACCTGTTTAATAAGGAGCTCCACAATGTTGTTACCTGGTTGCAATGCAATAAATTGTCTTTAAATTTTGAAAAAACTAAATATGTTCTCTTTAAAACAAAAAATAAAAAAGCTAGTAATGATATCCCACAAGTCACTATGGATGGCAAGATTATTACCCAAGTATCAACACATTGATTTTGCCTCATCTCACTTTTTAATACTGTTGTATGATTTGGGGGAATACATTTAAAACACACTTAAATAGACTTTTTATTACTCAGAAAAAAGCAATAAGAACAGTTTGTAATGTACCATTTAATAACCATACAAGCAATTTATTTGTTGAATGTAAAACATTAAAGGTCTCTGACCTTGTACTTATGTATACCTATATCTTTATGTATCATTATCATACGAATGCCTTGCCAGATACTTTTAATGATCTTTTTAGCACTAATGACTCCTATCACTCATATTTCACCCGTCAACACGCAGATCTTCATCAATTTCTTCCCAAAACTACAATTAGTCAAATTCCTTACGTTGTAATGGAATTAAGTTATGGAATGACCTAGACAATGATATTAAACTAAGTAAAACTCTTGATAAATTTAAAAAACTCTTGAAAAATAAAATGTTCTTTCAGTACAAAAACCACGCTCAATTAAATAATGAATAACTTGCTCCACTTGTTCTTTTTTTATATTTTGTATATAAATGTTTTGTAATACTGTAAAGCACCAGCCGGGGCGCACATAATGACGCAGTGTCGCTTGACGTCGTGTCCTGTGTGCGTCCTTTGCTGGTGCTTTGCTGTAAATGTCTTATCCTCAAATACATGTAGGTCTTTATAATCTTTTTCTTGTATATATTTGTTTTCCCGTTAATGTTGTTTTTGTTAATTTTCTCGATATATGTGTTATGGTTGGTGCCCCAATCACAAGTTTGTTTTCAAACTTCTTCAGGGGCCCCTAACCCCATGTTTTTATATTATCATGAATTATTATTGTATATGTATTTTTGTTATGGTTGAATAAATAAATTGAAAATTGAATTGAAACATAAGTTATAAGTCAATTTCACATATTATTTACTTATAATAACAACAAAAATATTATTAAAAAGACTGGAGGTTATTTTACTGGTACTCCCAGATCCCCCTCCCTCATACAAACACACACACACACACACATACTCCTCAGTGGATGTCTGCTAACATTCTCAACTCAAGAAAAATATACTAAATAAGTAAGTTATGGCTGCAAAATAGAGTTACACTTTAACAAGCTCACGGTGGAGAGGAAAACAAATCTTAATTAATACAAAGCTGCTCCCACTTTAAAAAACGTAATCCCAGCTTTCCTATTCTAATGGCTATTTTCTTTTCCTCATCCCTCTAATCAAAAATAGTTTTCTTCATCTTTTCTAAAGCTGGTACTTGTCCTGCTGACCTTGACATAAATAAAACATACTTCACTATGAAAATTATAGTATTACAGATCTTTATTCTATTTGAACTATACCTGCCAACCCAGACAAACACACACACACACCCACACACACCTACATATGTTCATTGTATTTCTTAGTTTTGTATCCAAATGGGGAAATAAACTTGAATTGGATACTGAATTGAATTGATTTGTCTTATTGTCCTTTGTCTTTCTTTGAACCAGTTACTAGTAACGAAAGGATCTGGATGATTGCTATTGGCCACTACGGTAGCAACGTTGAATACTTGTAAGTCAACTTTATAATAAATAGGCCATACTATGGTTGCAACGTCGAATACTTTTAAGTTAACCTTTAAAATAAATGGGGCATTATGGTACAACTCGCAAAGTTACTACGCCCAAAATCTAATTACGTTTTAAGCAGTGGCTATCTCAGAAACCCCCAAGCAACACCATGAAAAGAAGGGTTTCAATGGGCTATTATATGAAAACATCAGTCAGCTAGATTAAACAAAAACATGAACAAAAGACAGTGGTATGCCCTAACCCACTTAATACCTTATTGCATTAACATCCCGTTATCGATGTTTTGTCAGAACTTAATCACAATTATAATTAATAAATGACACATATTTGTGATGTATATTTTACGCATGAGTGATTAAAAATAATTTGAAGAAAGGGTACCAAAAAATCATTTGGCGCACGGTATCTGAATTTCAAAGAGAAAAACACTATTCCAGAAGGTTCATTTTCTGCTCTTTCATAATTATGACACCTCAATCAGGAAAAATGAGCCAGGAATAATAAGGTTCTGTTTCTTTAAAGAAATGTTTGCATTTCCATAATGTTATTAAACCAATTAGTTTTCACTGGCTGCCTGTCGTAGTAACAACGACTGACGAGCAGCCCCGTGATCAGCCATGCATGAAGTCTTTCATCTTCAAGTTCTTTGGTGTTAGGGCAGCTAGCAGACAGCTAGTGGAACGGATTCTCTGTTTCGTTTTTTTTCTGGGACGCATTGTGTATATTAGCCGGGGTAATCATATGATTGCAGGAAGAATGGTATTGATACCGGTGAGGCTACCCTGGATAAACAAAGCATAATCTATTATAAGGATTATTATTACAATTTATTTTGACGTTGTTGTATATAGCTTCCGCTGTATACGCCCCTTTGTGTACTCAGGCGCATCCCACGCAACAGCCCACTTCTTCCCCAAGTTCAATGTAGGCCCAAAGATGCACCCGTGAATATAATTATTATCTTCGTCGGGCTTGAACGTGTGTCATATCGATCTACGTGACAGGGCCCCAGTAAAAAAAAAATGTCATCAGTGATGAATGACAGTTTTTGTTATAAGCTAGTGAAATCCTTGCTTCTGATTAGTTATCAACAGATTTCAAAGTGTTTTTTTCACTTAGTGTGACATTCTCCGAAAATCCTCCTGCCGAACTAACTTGTTATATTTATGACTCACCCCTGCAAAACTTCCAATCTGTTAAAATTCTTGGCGTCATTGTGCAATCCAATCTGAAATGGGATCTACATGTCACTGAAATCCTCCAAAAATGGAATAGAAAGTTGTATATGTTTAGGCTTCTGCATGAACGATATGGACTAGGTGTCTTTAGCTGATTTAAAACTGGTATATACGGGCTATATTCGTACTGTCATGGAACGCGCTGTACCCCAGTTTTAATGGTGGGCTTACGCAGAAACAAATAAGAAGCTTGGAGCAAGTTCAAAAAAGAGTATGTACTGTAGAATCATGTTGGGTCCACGACACACACATTATACCAATGCTTGCCAAATGTGTGATATGGCAACGTTTGAATCCAGAAGGGAAAAGCTTTGTGTGGATTTTGCTATATCTTTAGCTAAACTACCAACATGTAGTACCTGGTTACCTCTTCGGAAAAACATACCCATCTCCTTACTCCATGCATCTAGATAATCATCAATGCAAATGCAAAACCAATCGTTTCCGAAATAGCCCCTTACCTTACTTTGTCGATCTTTTCAATAAAGCCAAGCCCAATTAATCAAAATAGATGAATTAATATACAATTTTTATTTGTATTATATACTCTTTTCACAAATCACTGTTGAAGTTTCCTGATTTTTACTCTCCATAAGATAATAACAAACCAAAAAACAAAATTATGTTCCCTTTCCCTTCAATAACCACTTTATAACTGAAGGAAAAGGAATGATAGAGTGCCTTAATTGCATTTTTTTTAAATATCATTCTTCAATTAATAATAATAATAATAAATATTCTTCTATTAAAGCTATAATACAAATACTTGCAATAGCAAACGTCAACAATGTTATGAAAAGAATGTGTTCATTTCTATTTTTATATTCGTATATTCTCTTAATGACTCTTTAAAAGTACATTTATGCAATATATATTTTTTGATGTACATATGTACTTTAACAACTTCCTCATTTACTTCTTTACTCCTTTACTTCATGTTTCTCCTCTCCGTTTCTCCGACTTCATTTTATCTTCTGTTTTCTTATTTTTTGCTGCCCAAGCAATCTTAACATATCAACTATATATTTCAATATAGCAGATCAATAATTGTAACTGCATTTTATGTCTGAAATATACAATGAGTCTTTTACTTGTACTCATGACCAATTCAGCCATTGGGCTGCGACGCATGTTTTTAATAAACCTTGAATTGAATTGAATTGAATTTGTGACTGCTTTTTGTCATTGAAAAAAAATCTTTGCGAAACGGGTCCTTGGCTGTTTTGGGGTTATTCAAACGCACATTATTTTGTGGAAGTTCGGGTGGCCAGGGTATTTATGAATAGTATACGAAATTATTTGAAGCATGCCATTAAAGGTCACTGGAAGTTTACTGTCTGAGGAGTGGCAGCTTTGCATGAATAATTATATGGCAGTGGAGGTATGAAGTGAACATTATTTTCCTGTTGGAGTCGTCGGTGTAGGCCTACTTTAGTATAATTATATGTCGTCTATCTACCAATGCAGCATATGTAGCAAAATAATGCAGATTCTCAAAAGATCTCTCGAAATTCCGCACGCTTCCTATCTTTGAAAGTATTGAACTATATAGTGGGAATTAGGAATTGGGTTACGCACTGTTGGCAAGTTGACACTGAGAAGCTATTAAGGCGTTGTTCAAAGCCTCGGTCACAAATACCGTTACGGGCTGTTACGAACGCCTTACGAACGATTTTCAGACCATTTCGTAAGATCTACTGAAGAAGGCCGTACGAAACAAGCGTTCGTAGACCATTCGTAAGTTCGAAGATTGGTCGATGGTCTTGTCCAAGATTTTTTCAACCTCGCACGAAACTCTCTCTCTCTTCGTAAGGCAGCCGTACGGACGTCGTAATAACATCGTAAGAACCACGCAAGATATTTGTACATTTCGTAGGGTCGAGAGACAATTCTAGAAGCCTTAACATTCTTACGATGATCGTAAGAACGCCTTAAGTTGTTCATAGAAGGCTCTTACAGACGGATATTCGTATGGCCTTCGTACGAACGACTCCTAGAGTTCGTAAGGTGTTGCGCTTTTTTGCAACCCGACAAATGTCCAAAAAATCGTAACATCTTCTTACGAATGACTTGAGAATGCCGTCAGTTTCACGTACGAGCATCTTGTGAGAACAACAATGCGTAAGATGGCCGTAAGTCTGACGTAAGGCGTTGTTTAAGAAACAGTACGCTAGGGCAGAGAGATTTCAGTTAAGTATCGCTTTAAAGTTTTACGTTGCATTCTCATCTGGATATGCCGGCCACTCCTAAGATTTATATCAATATTTAATCTTCACTTTCTCATTGACCTTTCTTGACCTTGACCTTTGATCTTTGACGCAGGGATGAAGAGACTTACACCATCCGAGGATTTAATCCGGATATAGTGGATGCGGGTAAGAATAAAAAAACACTCGTTTTTTTTTGAAAAATAATATCGCTAGTGATATTCGTTTGTCTCGCAATGTATAGTCAACAAGGGATCAATAGATCACGACGTTTTGTGCGCCGCTGCAACAATTCGTCAGGTGATAAAATATATTGTAAGCAAGCGTCTCTTATATACTATACGGAATACGGGTATTGCGGGACAAACGAATATCACTAGCGATATTATCTGCAATGAGTAATATATTTAGCATCACTCGGTTTTTTAGTTGGGCATTATCAACTATAGCAGCGTCGCTAAATAGGGGGAGGGGCTTTATTTTTTTTTTAATTGGAGGGCCTGAATTCCAACCTCAATGCCTCAACCATCAATTTTTCTCTAGGCAAATTCTAAGTCTTTAATTGTCTGCAAGTGTTGTCTTTTTCTTTCTTTCTTTTTGCTTGCTTGCTTCCTTGATTGCCACAATTTTAAATCTGATCCCATAAAACCGTGAAATTGTGAAATTCTTACATCCGCCCCCCCCCCCTCCATGTCCCTCCTCGAAAAAAAAAAAATATATATAGAATTTTAAGATTTTGAATAAGTCTAATAATGAACGTAACCGCGTTTTTGTAACACAATACTAAAGCGGTTTTGCTTCATTGCTATATGTATATATTTAATTGAGCGAACATCTGCTATCGTATTGAGAAGTTCATGATTTAACTCTCTGTTCTAAGCAGTGCATCCACCTACACAACATAAACTTTCTGAACAGGTTCACAAAATATTGATTTTTATCCTTTTATCTGTAAACGGTTCTTACTATTTACACAGGCAAGTGAATCAACGTTTCATAACCTGTATCAGTTTCTTTACTTCTATTTCAATATCACAAGTTTGCTCCATCGCTAACAAGAACTGCAAATTGGTATACGACGTCTATGGCAATTGTTGGGACAGCAACGCAGGCCAGCGGCCCAGGGGCGGCCAGGGTCTAATGGGAGGCTGGTATGACGGTTGCTCGGGTGAGTATATACCATATAATCATAATAAAGTCGTAATTGCAAAGGGCATTTTTTTCTAAAATTGCTCCTCTCCACCCAGGTTGTGAATGGGTTCCCGCCAGGATGTGAATGCCACTGTTATTAGATTGGCATGTGCAGGCCTGTAAATAGTGCACCGAGTAGAGAAGAGTGCAGGATCGTAGATATTGTGTACATTGTTTACTTCTGCTTCTACTATTACTACTACTACTACTACTACTACTACTATTACTTCTACTACTACTACTACTACTACTACTACTACTACCATTACTACTACTGCTAATACTTCTACTACTACTACTACTTCTTCTACTACTACTAGTAGTAGTAGCTTAGTAGTAGTAGCAGTAAAACTAGTCTACTAATAATAATACTACTGCTACCACTACTTCTATTAGTATAGTAGTAGTAGTGGTAGTATACTAGTACTACTACATCTGTTTCTAGTATTACATCAGCTTTTAGAAGTAGGAGTGGTGGTATACTACTAACACGTCTGGTTCTTGTACTATACTACTTAACTACATGTACTATCACAATCAATATTACTATTATTATTACTACTATTACATCTGCTACTAGTACTGGTACTAGTACTATACTGTTAGTAGTTATATTCAGAACTACTATTTATGATTATGTTATTATTATTATAACTATTACTACTAATAGTAGTACTTCTTCATGTGCTACTACTACTTCTACTACTACTACTACTACTACTCCTACTTTTACTTTGAATAAGTACTGTATACTACTACTAACGGTACTAATAGCACTATACTAATTTATTCATCATGTGACATGATAATGTTAGTGATACTGATCATATTCAAAATAGAGAACATGATAATTTTAATAATAATGATAATAATCATGATAATTATTATTATATTCCACATACTAAGAATTTTGCTCTATGATTGGTCAAAAGTAAATCACGTGATGAAAGATAGTTCGCCCATTTTTGATGGGAGAAGCAAAAAGTTCGTTACACTGTGTAGATAGTACTACTATCTACACAGTGCAACGCACTTTCACTGAAGATAGAGGTACTATCTACAAAGTGCAACGCACTTTCACTCAAGATAGAGGTACTATCTACACAGGGCAACGCACTTTCACTGAAGATTATCCAAAAGCGCACTAAAACAGGCGTAATTAAGCGCGCAGTACCATTGAGCGCAATGAAATAAAACACATGCGCGCACCGTACCCTCAAGGGGTTGGGTTAAACTTAAACCTTTTTTAGTGTGAATTTGGGCCTAGGTGTCTTTTATGTAAATGCATACACGTCCTTTTCTTGTTGTAGTTAAATTGTTTTAGATGTGGAATATAAAGCAATTAATCACCTTTTGGTTTCAGGCGATGGCAAACTATCACTTCCTCGTCGATCAGAATGTATACGCTATCTTTCCTCAGCTTCGCTTCGGAAAGATAGCTACATTCAGATCGCCTCGGAAGTGATAGTTTGTGCCATCACCTTCACCAACGGTAATTATTTGCTTATTATAGTGATAATAATAATAAAAATAATGATATTGTAATATGTGATCTTATACATTGACTCAATGCTACATGCTATACACACATACACACAGTTAATGTACAATGTGGTTGCAATCCACAGTGTACATATTAATAATAATAATAACGATAATGATAATGATAATCATGATCATCATGATCATACCAATAATAATAATAATGATGATGTGATAAATGAGTGTTGCCGATTTGAAGAAGAAACCCTGATTTATTTGACATTTGACTCCTCCGTCATCGTAAAGGTAGAGTTATAAGAAACTTTGAAAATTGGATAGATAGTAATTCTTTAAAGTTTTTGATATATTTGGAAACCCCTGTGGATGTACTATAAGAACCAGAAAAGTAAGCCCGTAGAACACTTCTGCTTTCGAGATATTTAATAATCAAAAATTTACTGGTGTTCCCGGTGAATACAAAATATTTAGAATAGCGCCTAAGGCCACCCCATGGTCTAGCTGCGACCATGAACATTTCAGAATATGCAGTTCTACTATATAATTTCCAAACGTGAACAGCCAATTGGTCGATTGTATAGTCAAGAAATATTGTTTTAAAGCTAAAGTAATTTCAATCTTGAGAGGGAGCAATACAACATTTAGAGTTTATTATTTACAATTTCATCACTTTTGACTCGATTTCAACCGCGACAACGATCATTGAATATTGTAAAATCGCATATGCTTCCAATATGTTAATTTGAACCAAATTCACGACCCCATACCAACACTTTGTATTACCTTTCAGGTTGGGTCCAATCATTTGACCGTCTGCTAACATTCTCCTTCACAAAACCTTTCATGGAAGCTAACAAAGTTGGAATGTATGCAAAGAGCGGCAGCACACTCTCATACAGTGATTTGACAAACCTGAAGGTCGGGTTCTCCGATGGGTGGGCCTACGATGAGTTTTGTCTTGCAAGATATACTGATATTGCGGTATAGTTGGATTTTATTTTATTTTATTTTTGATAAATTTGTTTAATTTAATTAGATTTTGATTTGCTTTGATTTGGATAGATGATGATGATGATGATGAACAGCATTTGTATGGCGCCATATATCTGTTAAAAAAAATATTCAAAGGCGCGAGCTCCTCCAATAGAATTAGCATTTAAATGTTTGAAGGAAGATGTCAGGTTTGAGTGAAGCTTTGAAGTGATCCAGGTTGTCAATTTCGCGAATAGATGATGGGAGGGAATTCCACGGGCGAGGAGCAATAGAGGGAAATGCCCTGTCTCCATATCCCTTGAGATGAGTAATGGGCATTTGGAGAGTAAGGCCAGATGAGCGAAGTCCAGGGCGAAGATGACGCCGCTCGATAGGTTTGATTTGATTTGATTCGATTCGATTTGATCCGATTTGGTTTCAATGGCGTGTCCAGGAAAATAGGGCATAACGAGCATGTGCCCCCTCCCCGGCCCGGCCGCAAAAGGGAAAGAAGAAAAAGGAGAAAGCCAGAACGGGGCAAAGAAACAAACACAAAAACACCCTCTTTGTGTAAATTATGATATTGAAATGAATATCCTGTCAGGATAATCCAAGAACTGCTCTATAACTCTAACTCATTCAAATTGCCGATATGATTCAGTTGTTATAATTTTGGCTCCCACTCCCATCTCTCTCTCTCTCCCTCTCTCACTCTAATTTCTCCAACTTCCCCTCTCTGCACTTTTTCATTTGTAAATGAATGGCGCAACAAAGGTCCTGTGCGTAGTTTTCACTGAGCTCTGCATAATAAAATATAATGACTGCTATATGAGGGATAGTTGTTTTTATAGGGTCAAGGGGACGTTACATCCTGTTATCACCTCGAGGCGTGCCGAGGGGGTGATGGCAGGATGTAACGTCCCTGAGAGCCTGTAAAAACAAACATGCCTCGAATATTAAAGCAGTCTGTATATCTTTTATATACCGAATTCACACAAAATCTACAAAGAATTTTTTACCTTAGCCTTTTCTTGAGTAAAGGCTGGTTAAAACATTACATAAAATCTGGGACACTATCTGTTAATATTTGCTGGAAAGATGACTGAATGTTACAATCATTTTGGAATCGCAGACAAAAAGCAATGTATGGTATCCGCACTCGCACAAACTAACTTTTAATACGTAAACCAATGGGGATCTCATCAAAAGTTTACTATTTTCCCGGTACCCGGAATCTTTAGGGAATCTCACTCATGAACAAGTTCGTTTCTTTCCGGGAATGGCTAAAATCACGACTACAATTTCGACCAATCAGATGGCTAGATTTCTAAAAAAAAGAGGAATATAATACTTATTCAGGGTCTCGTTTACCAACCTCACTCAACAGTCAATGGAATCAAGATTTCTTTGTAGTTACCATTAATGGTCATAGTTACCATAAAGTTTTTTTCATTGGCCCGGGCCCTGGAAAGTGTTGCGTATTACTTAACCTTGTAGTCATAAAACCGCCGTGGTTTGAATGGCCGCGCCATATCCGAGCAAACTTTAGTTCTATAACTATCGTGTAGGCCTACCCTCGTTTTGTTATTTATTTGTTTATTTTATTTATTTTTAATCTTTTGTCAGGGTAGCCCATTAACCAATAAGTAGTGGTCTCCCATGTGGGCCTGAAGAAATATGAACATATTTACATTAAAAAGCATAACGTTTATACAGAACATTTAAAATAAAATTTCATAGTATATTTAGAAAGATATAACACAGCAATAATAGACGTGGCACAAACGAGTACTCGTTTGCAAAATAATCATATACCCTTAACCTTTTTTGAGGCCGCCATCCTTGTCAAGCTTTGCTTATGATTGCGGTCTCCTACACTTTTCCAACAGAATAGTTCAGACAATACTTTAAATTTATGATTGTATGTTATGTAAATATTAAGTTTCGTTATTATGTACATAATATATTATGTAAAAAAACATTTTGACATGAAGAAATTATTGTTTGTTTATGTTGTATTATACCTTACATTTATATGTTCTTTGTTATTCAGTTATATTCTATATGGACAAAATGCAGAAATAAAATAGAATCAAAATCAAAAACCTAGTTCAACTGTAAAGCCCCAGTCCCATATAAAGCCGGACCAGCACGGACGAGCACGGACCACTCCGGACCATCCCGGACCATGGGCTGGGGTGATCCGGGATGGTCCGGGATGTTTTGTTCAAAAAAGTGTGATGCTTTTAAGCTACAGTCCCATATACGTCCCGGACCGTCCCGGACCATCCCGGACCCCATCCGGGGTGATCCGGGATTCGGTCCGTGTTGACACCGTGTTGGCACCGGGGTGGTCCTGGATGCGCGTTTCCGTTTTACACCCTGCCCTAGGCTTTTCTCCAATAAAATTTTACAAACCGACTGGTATTCGGAGTCTAGTCGCGCACATCTTGCCTCGGCGCTCTGCACACCACCAGAACTCTGAAAACGTCACGTAGCGCTAGCTAACTCTCTATACTAACTAGTTGATCTTCCTAGTCGTATCATTTATTTTTATCCATTAATACGCAATACTCTAAGAGCGTAAGGATGCGTGATCAGCTCGCAAAATTTAGCCCAGCGATAACAAAACAATAATATATCGGGAAAACCGTCTTGAACAAGAAGACCCTCGCATCCCCAATTGAAATTGTACATAAGCTTTGGCTTCGCTATTCTTGACGTCGATATAAACAAACTTAGACTTCGGATACAGCATGTTTCGTGTAATTTCTTGCCGAAAAGCCTAGGGCAGGGTGTAAAACGGAAACGCGCGTCCTGGATGGTCCTGGATGGTCCTGGGCGGTCAATAACTCACTCCCGGACTGCCACGGATCAACACGGACCGCCCCGGCGCCACTACGGATGACCCCGGACCCAGCACGGTGGCTACACGGATCACCCCGGATCAAACTATTGTCCCGGACCGTCCCGGACGCGACTTTGCGTTTTACACCCTGGCCTGGACATTTTCCCGGTAAATAGCAATGAAACTGCTTGAATGAGTCTAGTCTACGCTCCTCGATCGCCAAATCGAATCGTACATGCACAGACGTACGTCGATGGTCTTAGAAACAAATATCATGAATTGAGAGCTAGAGAGAGAGAGGTCTTAGAAACAAATATCAAGAAATGAGAAAGAGAGGGGGGGGGGGGGGTCTTAGAAACAAATATGAAGAGAGAGAGAGAGGCCTTAGAAACAAATATGAAGAGGGGGTTAATGAGAGAGAAAGAAAGAGGGGTCTGAGAAATACATACGAGAGAGAGAGTGGGTCGAGAGAGAGAGGTCTTAGAAAACAAATATGAATAGAGATGGGGGGGGGGGGGGCGGGGGAGAAATGGGTCTTAGAAAACAAATATGAAGAGAGATGAGGGGGGGGGGAGGTCTTAGAAAACAACTTGAAGGGAGAGGGGTCAAGAGAATTAGAGAAATTAGGTCTTAGAAACAAATGACATGAATTTAAAAAATGAAAGACGTGATCCCACAAAATAGAAAATGGTACGAGTGCAATATTTAAATCACAGTTTATGTATTACATTACCATTACACATATTATGTCGAGTGTAGTCTGTGTATGTGTCGATATGTGTACACGTGTGTTAGGGGGGGGGGGGGTCCGAATCAGCAAATGGTTTGAAAGTAGGCTACACGTCAAAAATTGAAACCCTGAAGAAGGCGGAATTAAACCACAAAAACCATAATGTTATTTGGTTTCTCTCTTTCCTAATTACTTTGATTAATTCCTTCTCTAATTTCTCTCTTTCTTTCAAGTTAGTTTTTGTTTTCTCTCTCTGCTTATGACATTCTTTGTTTCCTCTCTGTTCTTTAATTATTTATTGTTTTTCTCCATTTCCTTCTGTTGTTATTCGTTGTTTTTCTCTCACTCGTATACGTCTCGATACAAAAGTACATGTACCGCGTACCGCGACACTGGACATATAGGACGTACGTTGAGCATTGCAGAAGAGCTACGTGCGCGCGCAATATCTTGTCATGGATAGACTTTTCCCAGTCGGTTCCTTGAAATTTATTGGGAAAAGGTCCAGGCCAGGGTGTAAAACGCAAAGTCGCGTCCCGGACCACCCCGGCAGTTTTTGACCGTCAAAAACATCCGGGGTCGACTCCCGGACCGCCCAGGACCATCCAGGACCATCCAGGACCATCCAGGTGCCAACACGGTGTCAACACGGACCGAATCCCGGATCACCCCGGATGGGGTCCGGGATGGTCCGGGACGGTCCGGGACGTATATGGGACTGTAGCTTAATGCCAATAGGAAAATGCTGTATAGTGGAGGCTAAGTTACCCTTTTCCGGATATGAATCAATACAAAATCATCCGAAATCTGGGGGCGGTTTCATAAAACTTGATATCAATAACAAGTTACAAGCTACTGTTATAAGCTACTGAAATCATGGCATCTGATTGGCTGAGAGCAAATTTGTCATAGAAATTTAGCATTTGTATATAGATAACAAGTTTTATGAAACAGGCTCCTGATGGCTGTTTCTCTCTTTGCAGGGTTCGAGTCTGCGTCAAGGCCAAATCACACATTTCGCCTCAACAGAAAGACTAATTGAAGCACTCAACTCTGGAGAGGTCAGTTTGTAATTACAGCTGACTTGAATAATTTGATTTGATTTGATGTATTGTTTTATGATTTCTTCATACAATGATAATCAGTATTATAAGATGATGACGTGGATCCTAATCAAATGATTGGTTGAAAGCGTACACGTGACCAGGCATTTATTTTGCCTAACGCGTAATCGCGCGTAATTCGGGTGATGACCGGTCATTATCCAATGATAATGACCGGTCATTATCAAAATCATGTTAGAAAACATAATTTTATAAAACAAATAATACACATTATTTGTCTTACTAATGCCCTCACTGATGTGTATTATTTGTATAACAATATGAGCATTTTGTACATAGTGGTAATATGTTTTCAAATCACAATGAATAACACAATTTATGAAACAAAATGTTGGGAACTATTGATTGGCATGGCTAATGCAGAAGAACTGGAAAGTAAGCTTGAAGTACATGCAGCTCTTTAACACATGATAATACAGTGACAGCAAATAAAGCTCACGAGACCGACTCCTCTCGGTCTAGCCACCGTAGCGGGCATTTTAAAAAGGTGTATGAGATGCAATGAGACCGAAATGTCGACGGACTTCTGATCAGAAGTTCCTTTTTTTAAAGGATTTACCAGTCGGCCAGGGACTCGTTTCCTAAGGCCTTTTTTCAATGACAAATGACAAAAAATAGAGACAAATCTGCTGATCAGAAGCAATGATTTCAGTGGATTTGTTTTGTGAAATGAAGCCCTGAAATGGGGCCTAGCTGATCTCAAGGGCTCGTAGTCTTACTAAGATGACACGATGTTCAATATTTTTTTTGGATTAGGATTCCATGGGTAAACAAAGTTATTATCATTGCTGTTGATATAGTTATTATCATTATTATTTTTTTGTATCTATAATAACTGTTTTTATTATTATTATTATTATTAGAATTATTATTTTATTAGTATAATAATAATCGTTATTATTATCATTGTTATTATTATTGATATTATTTTAGTTATTATTATTAATGATGATAAAATAATACAAGGCCTCCTTTTTCTATATTTCCTTGGGCTATGTCATCTTTGTTTCAGTCCCCACGCAGTAAACCAGCACTTTGATAAGAATTACGCCGCCAAACTTTCGAAATCTATGATTATATAGGCCTAAGTAAATGGTCCTTTACTTACTTTCTTGTTTCATTATTTCTGTAGATCGATGTCATTTTTGTCTCAGCCCTCTCTCAGTACGACAGCGCCTTGATGAGAATCACGCCCTCAGACTTCGAGAATAAGTGTCTGAAAGGAGGGAATTCTGTCATGACACGTCACAATAACCCCGATTTCGTCAACTGGTGGAACGACGCGTTCGATCGCCTTGTCCAGAGAGGGCGCTATGATGAAATCTGTAAAACAGTCTCTGACAGGCATGGTAAGATAGAACTAAGATTTTAAAGATTTATAAAAAAAGAAGATAGAACTAAGAGATGCGAAAAAAAATGTAACGACCGTCGGGAGAAAGAGATAGAAGAGGGGAAGAGAAACAGAAAGAGAAAATGGAAAGGGTTGGGGAGAGTCACACAGAGGGAGAGAGAGAGAGAAAGAGAGAGAGAGAGACAGATAGAGAGAGAGATAGGGAGAGAATGAGTAAGGGAAAAAAAGGGAAGAGGGTGGGGGGGGGGGGGGGATTAGAGATCGAGGAGGAACAAATCAACTATTTATGCTTAAGAAACACAGTGCATACCTAAAGTTGGTCTTCATGGTACATGTTCAGGTAACAAATAATAATTGTTCAATTCGAAAGAAAGTATCTTTTCTAATACGTAAGAAAAGCTAGCATTATCAATCTCTAAAGTTTATATCCAATAATGAATACATGGATTCCTTTATGTATGATGATTATGCCTTGAATTATAATGCAGTAAAAATACATTTTTACATTTTTCCTCTCCTTTTATAGGCCATATCCCAGGGCGGGATTATACTGAGCTTTGTATCGGCTATTAGGCCACTTCTGAGTGGAGGAAAGCGTTATCACGTGACTGCAGACATGCATATGACGCCATTTTGTTGACGTTTTTTTCCTTCAGCGTCTCTCACTTTTCATTATCATTTGAGAGATGCATTAAAATATGTTTTTATTATGTTTTGTCGTATCCGTGAGATATTATTCTCCTGTTAATTTTGGTGATAGTTTTTGTAAAATGTTGTAACTTTGATTTACCTGTTTTTATAATAATTATTATAAATGATATGTTCAACTATATGGCACTCTCACACAATAAGTCTCATAGCGCTTTATATGGTTAAGGGTTGAAAACTCAGTTTAAAAAATACGTCTTCAAGTGCTTCGTAAAGGTGTCTAGTGTGTGTACTGTATGGATGATGTTCCGGGGCAGTTGATTTAATAGGCGGGGTGCATACACTCTGAACATGACGGACAAAGAAAGAGGACAAAATATACACTTCCTCATTCTACCCTCAACAATTGCTGTGGTAGACAAAGGAACACCCCTTCACTGCTGTTATGTAAGAATGTGTAGAACAGGTGAATATGCATGTGACACCTGTTCTACACATGTTTACATAATAGCAGTGAAGGGATGTTCCTTTGTCTACCATGGCAATTGTTGACGGTAGAATGAGGAACTGTATATTTTGTCCTCTTTCTTTTCATAGTGATATAATGATTGAAAAGCATTGTCATCTGTCAATTGGGATGTTCTGGGTATGTGGGAAGAGAGCTGTCTATTGTTGTGATGAATATATTATTATATCGCAACATGAATGTATTGTTAAAGGAGCTACACAAAGAAAATTCACTAACAACTCATAATTAGAACAAATTACATATGGATGGAAAGATTTTCTCTTGAAAAACACGAACAATTTGCTGAGAAATCATATAGATATCATGGAAAGGCGTAAAATGCAATTTTTCAAGACCCTCCTTAGACCCCCGAACGCCCCTGAACGTAAGTCAAACACACAAGCGTAGCGAGCTCTGAATTGTGACGTCACACACTGGACGAACAGCTCAGTGCCGTGTAGCAGTATGCAGCTAGCCAGCCGTGTCCCGTATGTGACGTCACAAATATTGACGCTCTACAAAGGACCGCTGAAGGCAGAAAATCTGGATCTCAAAAACTAACATTTTTGAGAGTTGATTACTGAGGGCTCACAAACATATTTTGGAGAGAAGAGTTGTTGTATTTGATCGGCAAGGCTTCCCCTTCGCAATGATATGAGTTTTGCATCATTTCAAAACACTTCTGATTCTTCGTGTGGCTACTTTAAGACTTGATTTATATACATTATTGGGCATTACATTTAAGTGAGGTATTCCAAATTGAATAAACAAAATTATAAAGGACTCTGTATGCTATATTTCTACTATTTTCTTGTCAACAATTATGATAATGTTTGATCGGTGAAAATGTTATTATACGAAATAAAGAGATTGGGAAAATGGAATTTCAGACATTTGCCTGCTTCTCTATAGATTCTTAGTACGTTTAAATAAACTTTATGCTTATAAGTATTTCAAAGAAACATTTCTATAACCATATCTTTAAGCATTATGCCTTGTACGTGATCTCTATGTGGGATGTAAAATAGGTTACATGCGATTGCCCCGCCCCCCCCCCCCCCCAAAAAAAAAGGGGGGGGGGGGTAAAGGGGAATCAGAATGTAAAAAGAAAGTGAAATCCCTTCCCGTACGTATTTTACCCTAATTTTTCCCTAATTAATTTGCATTTCTTCTTTTTGTTGATGAACAAAAACAAAACATTGCCCCTGAATGAACCCTTACCCAGTTTATGGGCCTTTTTATCTGTGCTAGACGTATACCCCGAGCCTTGATAATTATGTCATGATATACAAATAATGAATGGTTAAGAGTTCAATAGTGCGAATATTTTCATGAGTTGAAAGATTAACGTTCTATCCAACGAGGCGTCAGCCGAGTTGAATATAATTAACGTTAGAGATAAAGACCAGTTATGGTCATGCGATTGCATTGTGAAAGAAACGTTGTGGAATCGATCAGAAAAGGTTGATCATCTAGCATATAAGTATTGGTGTGTACTGCAAGGTTCTGGAATCATCAAAATGATAAGAAATTTGGCCCAGTCTTCGTAAAGTTACAAGCACTGTACACAGAAAGATGTATATGAGACTACACACACGTGCGCGACACGTGCGTTTATCTCTCACAGTCCAATAGATAAACTAATTTACCAAATATATATCAATTAGTAGGCGGTTTCCCGGCAAATGTTTTATCATCATGTATTAGTCAAAACATATTCTTTCACATGATTTGTAATAAGAGCTTCCATTTCATTTTTTGAAATTGGGGCGTTTCCAATACTGGTCTTTACCTTTAATCTTTCAACGAATGTAAATATTTGCACTATTGAACGAATGAAAAACATTCATTATTTGTTTTATGCAATATCAAAGTAGATCTAATAGAACGTTAATCAACAAATTATGCTTTTACTCCTTATAGTCAGGTCAATATACGGTAAAAAACACCCCAACCCCAAAAAAATTGCAACAAAAGATTTTTGAATGGTTTCTAGTAGAATTCGACCTCAGGAATAACATACTAAAAGTAGACCAAAATCGAAGGTTCAGAAAGCTGATTTTTTTTTCAAGATGGCGTCCAAGATGGCCGCCGATACCTTAAAATGACCATAAATCACTTATTATTCATCCTAGAGACATAATTTTGGTGTCTATCCCATGGTTTCTGGGGTCAGAGAATCCATTGAGACAAGTAAGAATGTTTTGTGATGGTCTACGAAACCCCAAAATGCAATATGGCGTCCAAAATTGCCGCCATAACATAAAAATGGCCATAAGTCACTTATTATCCATCCGAGAGACATAAGTGAGGTGTCTATGCTACGGTTTTCGGGGTCATAGAATCCATTAGGATAAGTTAGAACCTTAAGCAGTGGTTTAGGAAACCACAAAACCCAATATGGCGTCCAAAGGGCCAAACAACCACTAAGATTTCTCAATAGAGGGCGCACTTTATGAACAGGAAATGAACTTATAATGTTTCTCTCTCATCCTTAGGCTTATGGTGTCACCCACCTCCCCCTCCCCCCAGAAAAAGGGTCAATTCAACTATTGACAGGTCATTGTCAACACTAGGGGAAGGGGAGTGACAATGACAAAGTAACAACTTCATAATAATATCTAGACTTACATTCATACTACCCACCCACCATACGATTTAAAATGTTAAATGCGTCACTTCCCCCCACCCCCCCCCCCCCCAAGAAAAAGGGTCAATTCAACTATTGACAGGTCATTGTCAACACTGAGGGAGGGGGCCGAGGGGGGGGGGGGTGACAAAGCCAAAGTAACAACTAATAATGATATCTAGACAATGATTCATAATACTTACCATACAATTAAAAATGTTTAAAGACACTCAGTAGTCAGCTCTTATGGGGAATTCGACACCGTTCGGGTGTTTACCCAATAACAGGTGTTGTCAATCTTTGAATTTCACCTTTAAAGGATCCTTTAGAAGATCGTTGTTGTTGTCAGACTTGTGACGGGTTTCCGATCTTCGGATTGTAAGAACCAAGAAAATGGCGGCAGCCGCCCAAATCGACGGGCAGGAGTTCTTGGAATGGGAGTTTGGTAGGGTGAGATCAACCAGATAGTTACACATGAAAACCAGCTGAATTAGAGAAGAAAAAAAAGACATTTTATAGTTTATAGTTTTCATCTACATCAACTTTGGGCTATGTTCAATGAATGATATTTTACTATTAACTGGTATATCTTATTGTATTTCATTTTATCTGAACAAACAAATACAACTACATTATGGTTTATCATACTCTCGTAAAAAAAAAGAGTGAATTTTCAAAATCACGGACGTCACTCCTCTGGAGAGTGAAAATAGAGTGAACATTCACTCTTTTCTTTTTAAAGAGAGTACTTCCAACGAATCAGATTTGGTTTGGACGGGGGTGTGCCAATCAAGCCTCGAAACCCCTACCCATTATTAGGGGTCATTTGGGGGCATTGTTCTCTAAAAAAAAGATATTTCCACAATTTTCGGGTGTGTTTCTGCAAACACCCGATATTTGGAAATTTTGAAAAAACGGACCCATTTTCAAAAGTGGGACCTTTTGTGAAAAAGTCACCCATTGGAGTGCTAATATGTGAGTACCTCCCCTCCCCCCCCCCCCCCCCCCCGCGGCAACTAGAGTCCGTGCACTGCTATTCACCTTTCTCTCGTGAACTGACAATTTGGGTCGATGTTTCATACCTTTAAGATTGAACAATTCCTATTGCGTCATATAGGAAAGAAGAAATTACCAAAAGGTGTCAAATAAGCAAAAGGAGATCGCTGTCAAACATATGGAATTGAAGCGGGAAAATATTAAGTACGCGAAAACTGAAAGGGAGGGCGAATAAAGAGCAAGAAGAATTAACCGTCAAGCGGCTGCTGGCCAAATTAAATCAAGAGAGATGAAGGTTAAATCGTGATGCAAAACTTTTAAATAAGATATCGATTATTACCATTTCATCTTCAACTTCAGACGGGGCGAGAAACAGAGCCAGAAAATGGACAGTCGTTGGGAAAAACATATTGAACTCCAAAGCACGAAGGATCCGTCGTTCTATAATAAAAAATTCTTCCTCTTTGTAGCAATCGGCACACAGCTGAGAAAGAATATCCAACTATGAAAAGAAAATACATAAACATGGAAGTTATGTCAAATCGCAAAAAAAATCGGAAAAATCAACCCAAAGTAATTTCAATACCTTTGTCTATCACCCATTGAAACGTGCGAACATACGTAATCCAAACATGATGTCCATGGGATAAAGAAGATGATTTTGAAATTCTCGAAATCTGTGCACTTATGTGTGGTATAAATAATATATCGATATGCATGTATTTTCGTCTACATTTAAAAACTCGTGTATGATCGTAATAATATATAAGCAAATATAATTTTATTTTGCCCTTCTGTTCAAAGACCGAAAGACAGCTATCCAGGATTGCTTTA